AGTCATAGTTATTTTTATGTCTATCTAGAATATTTTTCAGTATTCTTTGCAAGGTTGACTGGTGGTCATAATGTTGTTCAGCTGTTCTTTGTCATGGAAGTCTTATTTTTCCATTAGTTTTGAAGGACAGTTTTTCAGGGTACATCCATCTGGGTTGGAAGTCATTTTCCTTTAGGATTTGAAATACTTCACGCTCTTCTTGACTTGATCGTTTGTGTTGAGAAGTCTACTGTGATGTTGATGGGCTTTCTTTTATAAGTAATCTGCCTCTTCAAATAGTTTTTGTTTGTTTGGTTGGTTGGGTTTTTGTTTTTTGTTTTTTGCATTTGGTTTTTTTTTTTTTTTTTTTTTTTTTTTGGTATTGGGGATCGAACTCATGACCACATGCTGACAAGGCAGGTGCTTATGCTGTTTAGCTAAGTCTCTGGCCCTTTAAATAGCTTTTGATATTCTGTTCTTATGTTGAATTTTTGGGATGTTGATTATTATACGTCTGGGTATAGATTTATTTTGGTTATGGCTAATTGGAGTTCTGGATTCTTCACTTATCTATCAGTTTCCATTGTCATGTTTGGGAAATTTTCAGCTATTACATTTTTTTTTTTTTTTTGTACTAAGGATGAAACTCATGACTTCTCACTTGCCAAACAGGCGCTTATGCTGCCCCAGCTCAGCTATTACTTCTGTAGTCTTTTGATAACATTTGTGTTGCCACCTTTTTATTTACACCTATCAATCTTATATTGTTTTTCTTTGCATCATCTTGTAACTGATGAATTGTTATTTCCTGATTCCTTGTTATTTTTAAAAGATCTTTCCTTTCCTATTCATTAACTGCAATCTTGTATTCAAGATCTGAAAGTTTGTCTTCACTTTTACTGAGATGGTTTTGCCAGCTTTTGATGAAATCTTTGATTTCCTGGATATCTCTTTGAATCTGTTTTACACATTCTGTTTCTTCCTTATGTTGTTCACTTATTTCCATCTTTTTGTAGTGCTCCCCAATTGTTTTTAACTGCATCTTCTTTAGCTGTGTTCAGCATTTCTTTTATTACATTTATCATTTCTTCTTTTACCTGAAATATTATTTCAGATCTAAGTTCCTTTACAGCTTCATGGAGTCATTTCTTTACTTCAGTTGCTATCATTTCATATGTTTCAGATGCATGGCCTATATTTTCTTCTATATCCATGTCTCTTAGGCCTATTTGGCATGGGTTGTAGGTTCGAGATTGTATTTTGCTCTTTTGTTTTGTCATCTTCCTGTACTCCTCTGGAAAAGCCAAATGCAAGGTCTCAGTTGCTTGCTGGGTTGAGAATATCTGTCCATACTGCAGGAAGTTTCTCCAGTTGAGTGGAGGTCATTAGTTAGGCCTTACCAGGTCCTAGTGGCACTCAAAGCCTCCTCAAATGTGGGGAGTAGGTGGGCAGGCCTTGAGCACACCCCACATGATACTCTGAAGTGCCCTTGCTGATTGGGGATGCTGGGCAGAGCCCTACCAGATTCTGAGTAAGTTGCCAAGGTTGCACGGCTGGATGGGGTTCACTGTGCAGGACTTTGTAGAGCGCCACTGAACACAAGTGGCTCCTGAGCCATGCAGGGTAGCTGGGTAGGGCCTAACCAGGCCCCGAGGGACCTACCAGAAGGTCCCTGACTGACTGTAGATGCTTGGGAGAGCCTTACCAAGTTCTGAGCGAGGTACTGAGATTGCACAGCTGGATGGGGCTCACTGCAGGCCTTCAGCTTGCACTCTATGACTCCTTTTATTTGAGAAATTTAATGTATAAATAATGTAAAGAGCAAAATAAAGATGCAAGAAACAGGAAGATAGATCTAGAGATGAAAGGAGAAGAGAGGGAGGGGAGGGAAGAGGAAACAAAGGAATTAAGATATGTTATATGATGGAGACCACTACAAATCAGCTCTGAATAGGATTTAAAAATGACCAATTGGCTTTCTATGTTTACTTGTGGGTCTGTACCAGGCCCATCCCCTTGTCTGGAGATGAGCCTTGGATTCATAGTAAGTGGACCTCTATGAATCACTGGTCGTCACTGAAACACATAGTGATCTGTGATGCCATGATGCCTCAAAGGACAAGGTAAGGTCACAGCTAAGGACCCTAGCTCCAACCCTAATTAACTAAAGACTGTAGCTATAGGCTCCATAGTCCTGCAATAAATCCATAGTCCTGCAACCTAGAGATAAGACAGCTCTCTTGATTGGAATAATTTACTACTTGGAAAAGTCTTTGGACTGACTTCCAAAGTCCTGCTCAGTTTCCTGCACTTTCCACTCTAACCCCTTCCTTTGTTTGAAAGTCAAATAAGGGGCTGGGGATTTAGCTCAGCGGCATAAGCACCTGCCTTGCAAGCAGGCAATCGTGAGTTTGATCCCTGGTACCGATAAGAAGGAAAAAGACAAAAAAAAAAAAAAAAAAAAAAAAAGGAAGTCAAATAAAACAAGCCATCCACAGAAATTTGTCTCAGGGAATTTTAAATTCTGCTATGAAACTTTGATACTCCTGGAATCCTAAAATTATGTCACTTGTCTCTTTTATTTAAAGCTTCACAGTCCACTCATTTGGGAGGCTGCAGCCTGATCAGTCCATGATAGTTATGGACCTGTACCAACTACCCATGATGAATGTAATCACCTTGTACTACAAACAAATACTATGAAGAAAAAGAAAAAACTGCTTTAGTTGCTTTTCATTTCTTGTATTGCAACATTCTTAATTGTTTTCCTATTTCTTAGTCTCCCTTTTCTTCACAATGTTTGCAAAGGATGTTCCATGTTCATGTTCACATCACTGTCCTGGATAACATCATTTGGTACTTCTTCATTATCTCCATAAAAATACTCAGACATTTAGGTTGTCAAGATCTCTGCTTGCCATGCTTTCTTTTCACTATTCTTCCACAAATAATCCTTCAATATGATTCACACAACAGGCCCTCTTCTTTAAACATTTTTCTACCCAACTAACACTGTTTCCCAAAACAAAAATCAGATGCATGTCTGCAGAAAATGTTCTGATGGCCTCTATGCATGAAGTAAAACTCATACTGTTGTGTTTATTTCCTTATTCTCTCACTAGATGAAAAGGTTTATGAAAGATGGGCCTCCAAAGTGGCTACTATGTAGTAAATTCTCCATAAAGTTTTGTTAAACAAATGAATGAAAAATGCTTTTAAAAGTTGCTATATTATAAATGCATGTGGATGTGGTGAGAACCTCTACTGAAGACTTTCCTAATCACAGCATTTAACCTTCTCTTTCAATCACTTAATAAACCTCCAAAAAATTTCTTCAGGCTCTTCCATTGCCTTAAATTAGACATCCCTGAAACAAGTGTCTTACTTTTTGTTCTTTATATCTTTTGGTATCCATGAGGAATGTGTTCCAGGACCACTAAAGTACCAAAATTCAGTGACGTTCAGAATACTTATATAAAGCTGTGGTATTTTCATGTAACCAATGCACAACTTACTGTATACTTTAAATTATCTCTAGATTGTTTATAGTGCCTGAAAAAATGTAAATACCATATAAGTAGCTACTGTGTTATTTAAAAAATAAAAAGGAAAAACATTTGTACCTATCCCACACAAATAATTTTTTCCAAATATTTTCAATTCACATTGGTTGAATTCCTGGATATGGCATCTGCAGACTGTAAAATGATCTGAAAGTCTTTGAACAGTTTGGGAAACAAAGAGAAAATCAATATATCTACATTATATCATCAGATATACATATCCACAGTAACAATAAGAACAACCACTCACATTTTCCATTTATCTAAGAGTTCCCTGTGAACATAATCACCCTCACTCTTCAGTTAGAAGTAAATGAACCTACATATTCAAAATATATTTTTAAAAATCTATTTTAGAAAAGGCATAAGAAAAATGTTAATTGAAAATACAAAACTATAATTTAATTATAAAATGAAATTAATATCCACTCTCAAAAGAAATGTAGATCCATGAGAATTAAAATAATAAAGTCTAGAATCAAAGGCTAGAGATATAAACCCTGTCAGACACATGGCCCATCTTATTAGAAAACTAATTGCAATAATGAAAACTACTAAGCTTTATGTTGGCAATTGGAGAGTAAGAAATGAGAGAATGGTAGACTGGTCAACTCGAGAAAGCTAGTAAGAATCTACTTCACAATGAACACCATCATTTCAATGTGCGTTAAAATGAAATAGGAAGTGGGATGAAATTGATTCAAATAATTTATTTGGCATGATCAAGATAATTAGGAGTGATATCAAAGTCTTACTAATAGAGAAGTGGTAACTTAAATTCAAATACAGCTCAAAATTAAAAATAATTAATGCAATACTTTTTTCTAAATTGCTTTACAACATTATACCACCTGAGGGCACCAAAGCCTTAAAAGTCTTTTCCTATTTTCTGCTCAAATTTTTTCAATGAACGTTTTTGAACATTATTATACATTTTATAGACAAGGAGCTATACAAAGATAAATAAAACAGGATTACCGGTCTGTGTCAATGACCTTAAGTTTGAGGTCTTAGAGATGCAGAAGAGAATGTTATGTGGGTTTTCTCAGTTGTGTTTGTTTGCTTGGTGGCTTGTTTGTTTGTTTGCTGAGATAATGGGGATCAGATTCGACCACTAAGCTACACCCAAACCCAAATGTCATGTTTCAGACTAGTAGTGGTCTTAGGTCTAAGCATGTCGAATCTATCCTTGCAAGTGGTTCTCTAAGTATAGCCCAGACTCCTGGGAATCCCGCAATAAGCTGTCTACAGTGGAAAATCAGGGAAGCTATTAGCATAATTCAGCATAAACTCCAAGTCATGACAACCAGGAAAACCAATGATATAACTCTTACTTTAAAGCTTAGAAACTAGGATACCACCGAGAGAACTTTGGAGTTCTAATGTCCAAGGAAGCACAAAAGTGTACTAGCTCTGGAACAGAAATAATTAACTGTCTACCTTTTTTGTTATATCCAGGCCCTCAGCTGATTGGATGGTACCTGCTCACAATGGATGAGGATAGATGTTTTTCCTTCAGTCCACTGATTCAAATGCCAGTCTCTTCTGGACACGGCTAACAGAAGCATCCAGAAATAATGCTTTACCTCTCTCAATGTATCTTTTATACTGATCAAGTTGATACCTAAAATTAACCATGATAATAGCTTTCTCTATACTCTCATTTACTTATAGGTTTGCCCAATTTATCTGAAGTACAATTCCTCTCACTTCTATGAGTTAGAAAATATTTTGATGTCAGTTTTATGCCTTTTAACATCTTTAGATGTGGATGTGCAGCTAGGAATTGAAAAACGAGTGCTTAATATCAATAAGGGAAATATTAGTATTACTGACAGGTATTCTATTTAAAACAGTAAAAAATATTAATTTTATTAAATTTCAAACCTTGTGCATACCTCCTTTAACTTTCTATTATGAAATAAGAAATCCACCTAAGCCTAACTTTTGTATTGCTCAGATTTTGCTATTTTCAAAGGATGAGGTGAATAAATTATACCTGTGTATCTAAAGCAGCTTATACCATCCATGATTTTTTTTGGTATTTATTTATTTTTACACAGGAGAAATCAGGGCCAGGCTCACAGGGCAGGAGAGTATATGTGGGGAGGGAGTAATGGCAGAACCCAATGCTAACCCTAACCCTACATCACCACCACCACCACCACCTCCTGCCATGAAGATAACTATAACTAGGGAGGTACAGTGGGCTGAGGTTGCAGACCACAAATTCACAATAGCTAGTTTTGCATACTTCCTTAAGGGATAAACAGAGGCATCCATGATTCTTTTAATGAGTAGAAATAAAAAATAACAATTTTTAAAGTAAGAGTTAATAAATTTCATCACTAAAGATACATCTTAACAAAACAAATCAAGTTTGGGGCTGGAGATTTAGCTCAGTAGCATAAGCACCTGCCCTGCAAGCAGGCAGTCGTGAGTTCGATCCCCGGTACCGATAAAAAAGAAAAAGACAAAAAAAAAAAAAAAAATCAAGTTTTATCACACTGAAACTAGACAACCCAAAAGACTATTGAAGCCTTCAGAGTAGTCACATTGCTGAGTTCTGCACTTATCATGAACTCAGCACAACATCAGGCTATGAATGATTCTGGTGATGTTGCCATTATTTAGAACATTTTTGATATTATTCTTTGAAATATGTCTTCTGAAGTCAATACATATTTTGAATGTCTTTCATAGTGGCATTCCTTGGCCTTAGAAGATCTTCCTTAACAAGTTGTGGAATTCTTCCTCTCATTGTGCAACACACCAGAGAAGAATACACAAAACATGCACCTTGTGCAGGCTTTAAATATATTATACTGGGGCTGGAGATTTAGCTCAGCAGCTTAAGCACCTGCCTTGCAAGCAGGCAGTCGTGAGTTCAATCCCTGGTACCAATAAAAAGCAAAAGACAAAATAAATAAATATATTATACTGCACCTATGTTAAATGTTATTTTCAAAAGTATCATAATTTCTGTTCAAAGAGAAGTCTTTGGAGTCTTTTGGAAACACCGGATTTTCAAGTACTGAGAATACATGTAGCTTCACAGAAATTCCATCACTTGTGTTCCCTGGATTTAGTTATAAACATAAAATACAGATATGTAGGTAAAATAGAGGAGGCTTCTGGAGACAGGGCTCCATTTTTTTTTTTTTTTTTTATATTGTGGATCCTCTCATCCTTTAGCACTAAACTTTGTTTATGGTAACTGATCAGTAATTGTTTTATTTTTAGATATGGGTTACTTTGAACAGGGAAAACAAGCTAACATAATAAAAGAGAGAAAAATTGCTGGTCTGGCCCTAGAGTGCTGGGTCTAGACTGAGAAGACAAACAAAGAAGGAACATGAAGAGTCACTGTCCCCACCACATATCGCCAAGTTTAAAGTTTGTTGACATTCCATTCCTCCCTGCTCTACTCACACAGTCCAACACCAGTGTGGTGCTGAGGGACTTTACTCAGAACAGTCAACAATGAGGCTGTGTACCTCTCTCATGGGCGGAATGGGATTTGTTTGATGAGGCTCAGATACCTGTACTCATTGTGGTCCTAGAGAACTTTGTACTTTGTCTTTATTGTCAATGGCCTGGAATGGATACTGACAAGGCCCATTTTGAGCAAAGTCTGTGGAATACCATGAATTAGGACTCCAAAGCCAGATCCACTAATCCAGAAGGCTTATCTTTGCGAAATGTATGTTTCTAATCATGGAAGACATTTCATATCTGACTGAAAGCTAAGGTACACATAGTGGTCAGCAATTGTGCATGAGTACGGCATTGGGAAATATCTGTTTCAGGGCAAACTTAATACCAGGAGCACAGTGGATGAAATCCCACAGTAGGGATGTGAGAAGGGGATCCTTTGTGAAGAGCCACAGAATTTTTACATTAGGAAAACCCTTCACCTGCAGAGAGCATGGGATAGACTTCTTAGATATTGTAGGTCTTTTTCAGCACCAGACCTCTCCAAAAGAATGGAGCCACACAGAAACACAAGTGTGAGGGAGTCTTTCAGCATGGAAAAAAATCTTAAGTGTGGTGAGCACAGGAAAGTCTCCTACCACATACACACACTTGCACAGCACTAGAGAATCCATACTGGATAAAGAGTTACATGAGTTTAATGGGTGTGTGGACATATTGGGCCTCAAACAGATATTTAGCAGGAGACAGTCCACTTGGAGTGCAGTGGTAATGCATTCAGGTTCAAATGTAAACATGTTCAGCACTAGCCTATTCGCTTTGTAGAAAAACCTCATGAGTATGCCAAATGTGGGAAGGCTTTGTGTTGCAAATCCAAACTTGCTGAAGGTTGAGGTGTAGCCCAGTTGTAGTGATAAACATGAGGGTCTGGATTCAATCCCTAGCAACAGAACAAAACATCTGAAAAAACAACTTTCCCAGAAAATTCACACTGGCAAGACCTTCAGTGTGGCAAACGTAAAAAATTCTTTTAAACAAAGCTTGTCTTATTCAACAGCAGAGATTACACAAGAGCAAGGCCCTTGTGAGTACAGTGAATGGGGAAGATGCTTTGCTACAACTGCAGGGACACCAGAAACTTCATACCAGATGAAGGCCTCAAGCCAATTCAGGGATGAGTCTGTTCTGAGGGATGCAGATGTCGCTCAGTGGTAGGGAACTTGCCAAACATGCATAAGGTCCTGGGTCTGATTCACAAGTAGATTCAGTACAAAAAACATCACAACCTAGTTTCATTAATTCAGTCAATGTGTGATATTGGTGTGAAAGCACTCAGCCAAACATCTGGCTTTATTCAATGCTATTAATCCTACACAGGATAATGGCCTTAGGCCTTCAGGGATATGTTTCTATCCAGTGTAACAGCACTACAATGCCTTTGTGACAGAGGTCTTGATTTTGCAACTAACTCCATATACCTGAATGTAACAAACAGGGAGATTTCCCTGGAGTTCCATGTATGTAGGAAGTTTGCAAGAGCTGCATTTTGCATTTTAATCTGACCAGGTCAAAATCAACTGAATTATGTCATTGCTAGATTCATTGGCAGAAAGCAGTCATACTTTACCATCTGGTAGGTCTATAGAATGTTTAGAAAAGTGTGTTTCTACACTCAGCACCATATTCTGATCTGTATTTTCCATTCTCTTTTTTCTGACAATTCTGGTATGAAACTCAGTTTTAAACCAAAGAACCCACTCTGGGTATTCTGATGGTAGCTTGTAAAATTCTCCCTTGCAGCATTGTTCATCTTCTGTAAATCATGGGCCTGGAAACTATCTCTTTCCCATTGTTGATCTGTATAAAGGTCTTGTTTAAGTAAAGTAACAACTTATTAGAACCTATCAGTGAGGTATTTTATTAGAACCTATCAGTGAGGTATTCATGTGATATACTACTGAAGAACTGCTTTGGGCAAATTATCATACAAGCTAGATACTTGTTCAACCTTTCTTCCATCCCAGCATGTCAAGAATCGTCCTGTCACTATGACAGTAACATTTACTCTAAATGAATTCATCTTAAGTCACATCTGAGATGAATTCACAAGTTTTCCTGCCTTATCTCTGTTTTAAGCAATCATAATATGGGTTTTGTTTTTGAATTTTAAACATAAACAAGAAGTCTAAGACATTCCAGTTCCCCACTGCATTCAGGACAAAATCAGTTGTCCAAATGATAGATGTTTTATGACCTGACTCATGCTGTCTCACTAGCATCCTTTTTCTTATACCTGTATCAAACTCCCTAGGCTTTCGAGGACACAGCAGGCTGTTTCTTTACCTAAAATTCCCTTCTGCCTTGTGTGACTACTAGTAAAGTGTTCCTCATAGAAAACCGAACTATGACATCCTCCAGAAACCTTTCTGTGAGTTGTTATACTCTACTCATCTTCTTTGTCCCTATGTTCTGTGCACTGCATACTTGAAAACCATTTGCAGGATTCTATGCTACAAAGCTGTGATCAATTTCAACACAGGATTATTCTTTGTATTATTTCCACAAGGCCTGACTGAGCATGCTTTCCTCTTACTGACCTAAATTTGAAATTGCAGTTACAAGTCAGTCACTAAGAATTGAATTTAGGGCCTGCTCAACGAGTTACACCCTTCTAAGACAGTCTCTCAAAGTTCCAAAATTGCCCAGGATGGGATTAAATTCACAATTCTCCTGCCTCTGCCTCCCTTGGATTATAGACCTTAGCTACTATGCCCAGCTTTCATCACTTATCATAAATGAAAAACTAGAAGCTTTGCTTCTGCACCTCTTCATGCTGGGATCAGATGCATTTCCATTTAGGATGAGAACAGACTATTTAAACCCCGGCACCCATGACAATGTTTAGTTCTGCCACTAGTTATGTCTGATAGGATTTAGCCCTTTCTGCAACTTGTTTCCTATGGATTTAGGTTCCATGTGGTACTTCTGTAGTGGCTTAACTGTTTGAGGTAGGTAATTCTCCATCTGCTTCCTGGACTTCAGATTCAGTACATTGATTTTTTTTGCTTTCTTCATGGATCTTTCACTCATCTTAGGCTGCCTACTTCACTGTCTGGTTCCCCTAGCCTATGTCTCGTGCTAGAAATTAGCTTCATCACCTATAGCTTTATACAGCATCTGTACAACTCCACATACAGGAACCAAAATCCTAGAAAAAAGGTGCATTGTGAAAGCAACTCTGAATGACAAATGTTGAGTCATCATTTGTTTCAAAATTCTTGTCCTATTTGTTTCCTGTAGCTGGTAGGGAGATACTCCTGGTACTTACCATGTTCAGAACAAAATCAGAGACTGCTGCTTTTAGACACAGGTAAGCTCTGTCATTGTCTTGTTGAACTAGTTTTCCTATTTATCAATAAAAATCATTGTATTGCATTTCCTACACTGTCAATGAGGATGCAATACATTTAACCTTTTGTGGCATATGCGAAAAGTATTTTCTTAGCAGTGTTTTGTAAAAATAAAAAATGACACACAAGGGTGCAAAGACCACACACCACCACCCAATAATTCACCTTGATTTCTGAAGTCCTAGGTGTTAAGACTTACACACAAAGATCAGGAACTACTCTTTCTAGCATTGCTGGAATACAAAAAAACACATTTACTCATCTTTAGCTGCTTTGGTGAAAGCTCCAACAGATATCACATGATCTAGAGTATTTACTGTCTGAAATTTTACCAACACCTAATTTAGAAAATAATCTCCAAAAAAGAAATTACATACTCCTTAACAGATGGCACAAGGCTTCTATCTGGTAACAGAATTCACTTCTCAGTACACACACACATTTTAAAATTCTATCAAATAACTCATTTTACTAAAATCAAAATAATTTTTAAAAAACAATGTCAGAACAGTAAGTCCAGATTTAAAAGGAAAAATACTGACAATACCATTCCTAAAAAAGTATATAGCAGGGGGGAAAAAAAGGAAAAATACTAACTCCAAATAAAATGCCTTTTAACCTGACCAAGTAAACTTCTCATAAAGCAACTACACCTAATTATAAAAGTATCCCAACTCAAAGAGAAAGTACATTGGGTTAACCAATTTGTAGCAATTAAAGAAACTTACATCCAAAGTTTTAAGGCTGATAGGGAAAAAAAAGTATTTTTCCCTTTCTTGCAATTAAAGAAATTTTATATTAGAAGTTTTAAGCCTGTGATTAAAAAAAAAAGTTATGCTCCTAGTTAACAAAAGACACACAGGCATCCTACAACAAAAGTAAGTTTAGGATACAAATGCCCATTAAAAATGAGTAACTGAAATGAATTAAGACAACAGTTCTCTCCCCATTGTCATGATTCCTCAGCCCATATCTTCATCTTCAGCGTTCCATAAAAGTATGAAGAATCTTAACAAAGTAAATGTAGAAAGTTAAAAACAAAATGAAAAACTAGTTTACCTTAGTGTAGTGCTTATTGACACAAGAAGCATGTGATATGCCTGAGGTTGTTCTATTCATAAAAATAGAAAGTATGGAACATCCTTGTAATCAACTCACAAAACCTTGATAGCATTAACGTTCAAGAGTCATATTTCACAAAATTGGTGAATCTCAAATTTAAAAGATCAAGCTTACCTCATAATTGAGCATGAACCCAAAAAAAACGGAAGTAGAAACAAGACAGGTCAGTTTGAACACACTGTGACAATTCACATTGTCTCACATCATCTAGAACCATTTGAAATAGTATCTGCCTGTTTATGTAATTTTAAAGGTTTAATACTAGTGAAATAACCCCTGAAATTTATGAAACACCTACCATAGGCTATAATTTATACCAGTTTTTCCTTTTCATCCTCATAACCCTAAGGATAATTTCTAGAGAAACCAAGTTATCAGGATTTAGGTTCAACTAGTTAAGAGATAAAGTCAAGTTTCAAATCAGGTGTAAATATGTCCAATATATTGTATGCCAATAATTAGAATAACCAGGGGGAATTTTACATATCCTATAGTCCACACCCAGTCTAATAATCTTTGGGAGGGATTACAAAGCCATTACTCATTTTTAAGTTCCCTAGTAATTAATATCAATATACAGGTTAAGTTTGGCAGCCACAACTACATGTACTCCTATATATCTCAATGTTCAATGTAGCAGTGTCCTAACATCTAAAGGATTTGATACAATTATAATTTCAATCATTGTGCCAGATTGTTTCTACAAAATAAAGGATGGACAGAATTTAAACAATAACATGTGATTAAATTGTACAAGTTATAGCTCAAATAATAATAATTTATGAGAAAATGCTTTCAATTAGGGTAATTACTGAATCACACATGCTTAAGTCCCAGATTACAAAATTCTTATTAAAAGTTTATCAAAGGGGAGGAGAAAAGTACAAAGAATTCAGATGTGTTATGTACCAACTCCCCACAATAAATATAATTATATATTGCAATCACATACTAATAAAAATAATATCTTTTGAGATAAAAAATCATTTGGAGCTCTCCTTGGAGTCCTATCATTATTGTAAAATCCTAGTATTCAGCCTTGCCTACAAAAAGGAAGTAACATTAAGCAATACCGTGTCACGGTAAGGCTTTAAGAATTACACTGTTTGAAATGTCCACTACCATCTCAATAGCCACGGAACCATTGTAACCTCAGGTAACCTAAACTGTCCTGAAGTTATCACAATATCCAGTTAAACACAGCTGGGATTTTGGAAGTTACAACAACACATTCCTAATGGTGTAAATCAAATTACAAATCTTACCTTATAGAAACTTTTCACAAGTATGTGCCTTAAAATATTTTAAAGTTTCTAAGATATTACAAGACACAAATAAAACCTGATGTCAGGTTATAGTAACTTTTTTGAGTCAAAAACAAGTCACATTGAAATTGAGTATTTATGTAGCTATTTTCTAGTAGCAGCAAATATAAACACTAGTGAAAGTGACTGTATCTGCTTAGGAAATACAAACACTAAAAAAAGGACTAAAATACTCTAAATCTGGTCTATCCAGTAGATTAATTTCCATTTCAATCTTAACAGATTTGTGGTCTTAAATTCTAACAAAACACTTTTCGAAATGCTACTTCAAATCATTACAGAAACTTTTGCTTAAATTAATTTATACAAAAATAATCAGAGTAGATGATAATGGAAAGGATTTACAAAGGAGCAGGGAGCTGGATATGGTGGTGCAAGTGTATAATCCCAGTACATAAGAGACTAAGGCACAAGCATCGCCATGGGCAGCCTGGATTACACAGTTGAGTTCAAGGCCTGCCTGAATCACATAGTGTGGCTCTATCTCAAAAAAAAAAAAAAAGAAAGAAAGAAAGAAAAGAAAAAAACAAGTATAAGGAAAATTTTAGGCCTATTACCATTAAGTACCTTGGCTGTGGTGACTGTATGCATCAAAACATCAATTTTATGCTGTACATGTGTTCTCTGATGTCAACTTCTACCTCGATAGCGGTTAAATATTTTGCTACTGAAAAAAGTTTGATATCATCATAAAGTACTTTGTGTCAAGCTACATGGCTTAATTTTGAGTTCAATTTCATACTGAAATGGTACCAAGACCACTACCACTGTACACCTACAGTTTAACTAATTCCTATACTTGTGAGTTACCTATCCAGCAATCTTAATCATTAATCCATTATTTAAACAGTACATTAGTTATGCTCATTTTAAAGACACTCTCTTAAAATGTGTGTATATGATTCTACACCTTAGTAACCACTTGTTAATGCCATCACTTAATAAATGGAATTGTATCATTGTACTTTACATTTACAAAAGTAAACTACTAAAAAAAAATCTGATGGCAGAAAATAGTATTTAAAAAAATCTCTGCAATTAGAAAACTCAGTAAGATTTTAAATGCAAATATTTTTTAGGTTTCTTCTAGTTATTTTAGCAAAAAAAAAAAAAAAAGGTATCTGGTTAAGATTTCATCTACCTATTCATCAAACAGTGCAATTTAAGACTTCCAAGATATGCAATATGTGACACTGACAATTCTGTCAAAGAATACTTTAGGTTGGTGGTGGTGAACCTATAGTGTGATACCACAGTGGGCTGTGTACATCATTAAAAGCTCCAAAAGGTTCGCCATCGCTACTTTAGGATTATTTAACTCTAGCTGATTACAGTGGATTGTACCAAATTACATTTATTAAAAAGCCTATTTTGAAACTTAACACATACTTAATTATTTGTTACTAATTTACCCTCAAAAGTTTAAAGGGGTACAACCAAGTTACCTCTGTAATATCATCATTACCAGTCTCAATGTGAGCAGTAACACCAAAACCAAAAACACAGCTTGTGGTTAAAGCTGGGGAGTCTGGGCAGGTTACTGATGTAGTAACAAAAAAACTCTTGCAGTTTGTTAAGAAACACAATTTAAAAAACGTCCAACTGGCTGGGGATTTAGCTCAGTGGCATAAGCACTTGGCTGGCAAGCACAAGATCATGTAATAAAAAAAAATCAACCAGCTCTCAAACTTAAGACATAAAGTCTGACATAAACTCCCAAATATTTCTGCTCTAAGCTCAAGCTCTTTATAATTAAGGTATATTTTATACACAGAGATAGGGAAGGGGGAAGCTAAAAGCAGATGAGGGTAAACAAAATCAGAAAAATCAAAATACAAATACAGAGCTAAAATACTCTTCCAGCAGTAAGAAATATAATCTTAAAATTAATGTCCAAATGAGAATGGTCAAAATTCATTCCTTGTGCAGTGCATTTTTTTCCTGCCTCAAAAAGTAGCCATCTTTAATGAACAAAGTAAAAAAGTAACACATGCTATATTTAGAAACCAATACCTTGAACACTACAGAGAACAACAATATTCTGAAAATCCAGTTTATTTTCCATGTTGTGGACAGATTCAGTGTGATCAGTTTTTCTGCATGTGTAATAATTTATCAAAATGAGTTTTCCCACATGCCTCTTTGCCATCAACTCCGAAAATTCTCATATGACCACATTCCCAAATATTTAAAGATCTTGAAAATCACCTTTTAAAATTTGAAACAAAGTATGGAAAGTTCTGTAACACTTAGTGCACTATAAATAGCTAAAGAGGGATTTAGGTTTTAAAAGGTGGCTAGTACAACAGTTGAGTTCAGAAAATTAATGTTTTAGTGTACTTGTTCCAGTTTTAGCCAACATGCTACATTTTCCTGTTTGCTTTTTTGTTTTTTTTTTTTTGAGGAGTGAGGTGAAGAGGCGCATAAAGTGGATCTGAAGATTTCCACTGTATGAAAAAGGTAAGACTCTGCAAGCAAAACTGTAAGCTGCCTTATTTTTCCTTAAGACCTGGACATTTTAAGACAGAAGCTTTGCAAAACATTACACAATTTTTTATTAAATGAGAAAGTCTCATTTGTTACATTGTCACATTGCTAGTCAGAGAAATGCTGCAGTGATGAAGAAAGTCAATGTTGGATCAACCGTAAGTCCTCATTTCTACAACATTCATTTACAAAGAAATAATGTTCAACACAGCCCAACACAATATTCTTGGTTTTCTTCATACTGAAGTCCCCCAAAAAAATCATCTTCTAATGGGGTATTTTACTACATAAATTATAGTTCTTCGTTTTTACAATTTACCCCAAACTGCATGAGAGATGTATCATACTAAAATTTCTAAAGCTGTTAGGAAATCCTTCACACATCGTCGTCATCTGATGTGTCACTGCTACTTGTCTCTGTGTCATCGTTCTCAATTGTAGGTTTAAAAGTGCTGTTTTTCCAGGGTCCAAACTTGAAGTCACAGATCAGGCCATTTTTCAAAATACCATTTTTTCTCAGACCATTCTTCTGTAACTAAAACGTTAAAAACAAACAAACAAATTTTCCCAAGTGTTATGCATTAAGAATACTATAATAAAATACAACTACAAAACGTTTTGCATTCTAAACCCTAAAATATCCACAGGTTAATATCATGGTATCATAAGCCAATAAATATTTAGATACATGTAACTAATCCAACTAATCTAAGAAATATCCCCTAATAGCTATTCTTTGGGAGAATAAACAGTATGTACCATCTACCAAACCAGTACAAAAAAATTAATGTGAATAGTATAGTAGAGCACAGATTTTGGATCCAGATAGGGTAGATGTAAATAATTTTGTCAAACATACTAAGTTTACCTTTCTGTAATTAAACCTTTCCAAATTTTCATTCCCTTATATGAGCAATAAAGAACCTTTATTCTGCCTACCTCAGTGTGTCACAGCCGTTTGTTATCACTGAAAACTCTAAAAGGTTTTCCATCACTGGCTTAGCATGCACTTAGCAACTATTAAACTACAGTTATTATTTTTTATAATGATGACCTAAGTTAACACAGCTCACAATGTAACTTTAGCCCTACTCTGTACAATGAGGTATGTAAAGTAACAAAATCAAAGAATCTTTTGATTAACCACAGAAATTAGGATACTGAAGTCATTTCTGAATATGGGCAATCATAAATAAACTGCACAGTAACAGGAGTTGAAGAAAAAAAAACAGAGTTGGAAAACTGATGATTAGCACAAACACCACAATAAGGATATATAAGACAAAATAAAATTATTGGTAATATATACCCCATTAACTCTGGCCTAAGTTTCATGAAAAATCTAAGACTAAGTTAATATTTGGATTTGCTTATGGTTGTCATATAATAGAGAAGATTCTTTAATTATAAGGATTAAAAAATAATTTGGAGAAAATGCAAATCCTAGGCGCCACTACCAGTATGGTTAATTCTGTTATGTGTACAATAAGAAGTCTAGTCTTGACTTTCAGTTTCCTTTCCTTTTTAATTCTCTGTTTTCCACAGCAGATTTTCTTTACCACCTGACTTTTATTCTAAACTGTCATATATCATTCAAACTACAGTACTCTGAATGTAAGAATAACCACTTGCTTTTAATAATTACAGCAGCATGCCAGGCAAAAACTGAGATTATCTAACAAACTAGGACAGATATACAATGTTATTATGATCTTTACTTAAAAGTTGCCCACTCCAACACTTTTTCTGCCAGCAGCATTCACTTTACTCTTACTTTTGTCTTACTTTAATCCTTGCACCAGGAACATCACTGCCTTATTTTCTCCCTCAAAGGCCAATTCAAATCCAGTTCCTTAATTATGTTTTCCCAGATCTCCTTAAGTGGAATTACTCTCTAGATTAACCACTAGGATATAAAATCTATGAAGGGGAAAAAATTTTCCCAGGATTCTAGAACAGTAACATGAACTCCAAAACATTTTCAAATGGGAAGGGGAACAACAAGGAAGGGGTAGGGGTAGACAAGGAAGGGAAAAAGAAAAACAAAAAAAGGACAGATGAAAAACAATGGAAATAAAGCTTTTGTAAATGGGGAGGGACGGAAGGATTGAAGGGAATGGAAAAAAAAATTACAATGTATTATATACAGGTAGAAATTCTCTATGATGAATGTGATAAATATGTATGACAAATATAATACAAAATGAAGTTTAAAAAAACAAAACTTGTTGAATATGTACCATCTCCTCTTTCCCTGCCACTCATGCCCTGTTTCTAACCTGGAATACTTTTAGAACTATTATCACAGAGGAATCTACCCTCATTAAACTATTAGTCTGATGGAAGAGCAAAACTGCATAATACCCAGGCATTATTAAATACTCAAATGCTTGTGAAGCAAAAGTTTGAACTTAGGATTTTAAGATTGTTACAGGTATAATATAAATCCTTTTAAAATCAGCATTATCTCTAATGATATTTTAGGCATCTAAATACCAAATATTATGGCATTTTTAATATAACCATGCCTCATCACTACTTCAGAAAACATACATACATACATGTATCATTATCTCCAGCCAAAAATGTATGCAACTGACAGTTATTTTACTATCAGTAATTTTATCTACCTGCTATCATCCTGGTTAGCTAATATTATGTTTTCCTTGGAACACTACTCTAGAATAGTACCAGTACCAGTAGATTTCATGGAATGCTTTTCTTCATATTAAAAAATAAATAACTAAAACTCCTTCAGGCTTGCGAGAAGCTCAATGGTAAAGCACCTGGTTAATTCACTTGTACCAAGTTCTGGGTTTGATTTCCAAAACTGCAGGATAAAAACTCTGCAAATTTTTGTAAGTTAATTACCATATAGTGAAGTATTAGTAATCTGGATGTGTTTCAAAAACATGAAAAATGACATTAGTTAGTTATAATGGCTATATTTTAAAAAATATCCAAGAAAGGCTGACCTCTTGGGACAGAAAACATGTGACAAGCTCTAGAAGGGGCTGAAGCTGAGCATAATGAAGACTTCATGCAAAGGAGAAATAGAAAACCTGGGGATACTGCAAATGTTCTTTATTATGATCATAGTCACATGATTATATACATTTGCCAAAATTCATGTACATTTAAGGTACATTTTATACATAAATTGTATTACAAACATGAATAAAAAATCCTTTAAAACAAATCAATAACCAACTTCAAAACTGTGTTATTAAAGGTAATTTGGGGCTGGGGATTTAGCTCAGCAGCATAAGCGCCTGCCTTGCAAGCAAGCAGTCGTGAGTTCGATCCCTGGTACCGATAAAAAGGAAAAAGACAAAAAAAAAAAAAAAAAAAAAAGATAATTCACTAAGTACTTCTGAATTAAAAAAAAAAAATTGTGGAGCTGGACATGATGGCACACACCTGTAATCCCAGCACTTGGGAATCTAAGGCAGGAGGACTACTGGGAGTTTAAGGCCAGCCTAAACTACACAGACTGTCTCAAAAGACAGAGGGGGCTGCTGAGCACGGCGGTGCACTCCAGTAATCCCAGCACATGGGAGGCAGAGGCAGACGGATTGCTGCAAATTCAAGACCAACCTGGGCTACAAAGTGAGCCCAAGGCCAGCTTGAACTGCACAGCAAGACCCTGTCTCAAAAGAAACAAAGAAAGTGCTTTTTAAAAGGGGAGAAGAGGGTTCGCTAAGGAAAGGAAATAAAGAAGTACGTAACATATGAAACCTCAATAACCCAACACTGAAACAGAAAAATTGCAGGAAACAAAATCCAACACACAAAAATCAGTTGCACTAACACATAACACTAACAATGGACAATTCAAAAAGTATTAAGAAAATATTCCACTTGCAATAATAGCATAATTAAAAAGAAAAAAATTTATAAGTACTATATAAGCAATAAAATTCACCAAGGCAAAAAATGTGTATTAACTGAAATCCACAAAACATTCCTGAAATAAAAGGATACCAAAAAATGGAAAGACTTCCCACTGAAGCTTAGAATACTTAGTATTATTAAAATGTCAAAACTACCAAAATGAAGATTCAATAACAATACCTTTCAAAATCACAACTGCATTTGTTTCAAAGAAAGAGATCCTTATAGAATCTGAAGGGACTCCAAAATTTTTTTCTCCGCAATCCTGAGAACTGAATTGCTATACCATATACACTTTTTGTTTTTTGTTTTTTTTTAGGGAGAATCTTGCTAAATTGCCCAAGCTGCCATGTAATTTGCAATCTTCCTGCTTTAGTCTCCGGAGTAGCTGGGATTAGAGGCATGCAGGAACATGCCTAAGTTCTTGATTCCAAAACTTATCACAAAATTACAATAATCAAAACAGTGCAATCCTGGCACAGATCTAATCATTAAGGAAACAAACCAAAACTACATCCCAAACAGTTGCCAATGAGAATGGTTACTAATTTTTTTTTAAATATACAAACAGAAAATAACAATTGTTAGCCAAGAAATAGCAAAATTGGGACTCTTACACAGTTGTTGGAAACGTAAAATGGCAGAGCCACTGAAACACAGTATAACAATTCCTTCAAAAATTTTTCAACCACTGTAAAAATCCAACAACTGCTATGCCAGATACACATCCAAGATAACTGAAAAAAAATCAAGGGTTTGCACACTTGTTTGCAGAGCAGAATTATTCACAACAGTCAAAGGTGGCATTAACCCCAAGAATATATTGACAGATGAATACAGCAACTAAAATGGGATACAGTCAATACTAATTAGCCTGAAAAGACAATTCTTGACATATGAAACATAACTGCTAGATGAATTCAGTCCATCTCAAGCGCATAAATATTGTATGAATCCACTAATATGACTCATGGGAAATAGTCAAATTTTACAGAGAAAGCAGAATGGCTGTTTTGGGGACCAGAAATACCGGGGATACTAGCGAAGTGGGCTGCTACTTAATAGTTACAGGATTTTCATTTAAGAAAATTAAAACCATTCTGAAAATAGGTATTAATAATAGTTGTAAAAAATATGAATATAGAATTTAACTATAGTTAAGTCACTGAACTATACATAAAAAATATGTTTAGCATCATAAATGTTAAAGTATGGGTTTTTTAAAAGTGAAATTAAAAAATAGTATTTTTCACTGTTCAAAATATTTAAAACTGAAAATAAAGTCCATTAAATTATGAAGTTAGTTATGCATGACTGATTTCTTCAAAGATTCTATTCAAAACTGTGACTCATAATCTTAATTGTCAACTTCAATGGCTTGATAAAGGCCTAGCAGATTAGACAACGATGCTGAGTGCATCCAGGCCGGTCATGAAAGAATAGCCTTGAGTACTCACCAGTTTCTCTCTGGCACTATGAACTTCCAGCTACCATGAACTGAGCAGCTTTGCTTCACCTTGACTCTTTTCTGCTATGACCTTCCTGATGACCAAGAATTAAATCTCCCAAAACATTAGCTACATTAAACCTTTCCTCCCTTAAATGTCAGGTTCTTTGTCTTGATAATGGAAAAGCTGACTAACACAAAAGTATTTCTGAAGATCGCAGTACAAATGGTACTACCTCCATATAGACAAGAGGCTCTGCATAAACAAAATAGTTCACAGACACAAAACAGATGAAATATTTTTATACAAGAGAAAGGACTGGGGCTGGGGGTTTAAGCTCAGTGGCATAGGGGGCTGGGGATTTAGCTCAGTGGCATAAGCACCTGCCTTGCAAGCAGGTGTCGTGAGTTCGATCCCCGGTACCGATAAAAACGAAAAAAAGACAAAAAAAAAAAATGAATTAACCCTAAGTTTTATTGGTCTTGTTCTCTACTGTTTTGTCCAACTTTATAATATCTAATAAGATAGACAATTCTTTTTAAGGAAACAAGGGACAACGTTGATAACCACTGTTGATAAACTTGTACTCTGTTCTACACCATGTGCTATGTCTATCCTTGGTATTGACTGACAGCTTTTTTTTGCCATATTTGACTGTATTCTTCCCCCCCCCCCCAAAGAAAGTATTAAGCACTAAGGAGTACTAAAATCCAAGATGTGTAAATTTTGTTGTAAAAAAGAGAGGGAAAAAAAAAAAAAAGAAAAAGAGCTCTAACGGATATAACAGCAAGTGTGTTTGGGGGTGTTAAATAGCTGACTTTATCAATGTTTTTGGAACATTGAACACAGCTGTTTGCAGTCTCCCTGTTTGAATGTCCACCTTGTGTTCTTTGATACTGTGATTTGAGGAACTGTTTTCAAGAAAATAGTGTGTAATCTACTAGCAGGTAATTTCTTACTGTTATGGTTTTTTGTTTTGTTTTGTTTTGTAGTTCTGTATTGCGTGTACCCTTACGCCGCTTTGGTTTGTTTTGTGTTTTTCTCTTTTTCCTCTTAAATAAAAAAAAAAAAAAAAAAAAAAGCTCAGTGGCATAAGCACCTGCCTTGCAAGCAGGCAGTCATGAGTTCGATCCCCGGTACCAATAAAAAGGAAAAAGACCAAAAAAAAAAGGATCAAAAGTGACATTACTTTATAATGTAGAGTTTCATAATTCTTAAAACTGTAAACCACTCCTGTTGCTTCTTTAAAAGGAAAAGTAATTTATAAGTAAACACGAATGATTCAGGTTTTCTTACCTGTTCGCTAATAACTTGGAATTCTCTCATTTCATCCTCAGTTAAGGGTGCACATGTTTCATCATTTTCACTGTCCTCCTGCCAGCCCATCTCCTTCAATAACCTGAAAAGAAGGGAGACTATAAGGTTTGATTTAGAAAACTGAGCACATAGGAAATTTCATTTATGCTTTGGATATTTTCTGAAAAGAAGTAAATCAGATTAAGTTAAATAAACTACATTAATAGTAAAATGATGAACTGCCTAATTGGTTAATCTTTGGTATCAACACTAGGCTAAAAATCTACAACAGAGAACTGAAGAAAATGTGCCAAATTTCTACACTGAAAGTAATGGCAATACTCCTCTCTTTTTTTATTCAATACCACAATTCCAACATATGTATTCTTTACTACTTATTAAGTTTTCTACTCTGAAAAGAAAAGGCAAAAGGCATGAGTGCACACCTGTACTCCCAGCAGTTGGGAAGCTGAGGCAGGAGAATGACTGGGAGTTGGAGTCCAGCCTGGTCTACAACAGTGAGTCAAGGCCAGTCTAAACTACAGTCAGACTCTGTGTTGAGGGGAGGGGAGGAAAAAAAAGGAAAGGAAAAAGAAAAGAAAGGAGGGGAGGGGAGGGAGAAAGGAAAAGAAAAAAGAGAAAGAAAGAGGAGACAGAAAAGAGTAAGAAAAAGAAGGGAGAGGGAGGGATAGCTTAGCCTATTTTTTATATATATATATATATATATATATATATATATATATATATATATATATTTTTTTTTTTTTTTGGTCTTTTTCATTTTTATCGGTACCAGGGATCGAACTCACGACTGCCTGCTTGCAAGGCAGGTGCTTATGCCGCTGAGCTAAATCCCCAGCCCCTATTTTATATTTTGTAATTTATTCTTCTACTGATATAATCATTTAGGTGTATGCCAATCATACCTAACACATAATTAAATGACAGTCATTATGTTTTACAATAATAAAAATTACTTTTAAAATCTCTCAATCAGAATCTAAGTAAAAATGAGTACCGAATAGTCTTTTCTGTTCAATTTTTAAAACAGTATCCTTTCACATTATATAAACAGATTTAAGAAAGGACTAATAACTTTTTCTTTTTTTGGTGCCAGGGACTGAACTCATAACCTCGCATTTGCCAAGCAGGCACTTACATCACTGAGCTAAACCTCAGACCCTACCAATAACTTTCTCTAGTTGGGCAAACAAACACTGCAATAATAGCTACTGCATTTGACTCAATGACTTTGAAGTTTTTGCTACTTCTGAGGCCATTTATCTCGTACTGATCTGACAGTTGTTTCTAAATTGTGTTCCTTAAGTTTTTTTAGCTCTACTTACCCTTAAACATCTTTCAATTTATCTCTCTCCTTCAATAGAAGTGTTTATACCTTTTTGCAAGCCTCAACAAATACCAATATTCAATAATCTTGACTAAAAATCAACATTCGTATTTTTCAATATTCCCGCAAAGAACAAAACTTTGGTTTTCTGCTCTACCTCCATGCTCCACTATATACTGCACTGAACTCTGTTGCCCAAACAAAAATGTCACAGTCAATATTATTTCCATCATTCCCGTTAGTCATTTAGGTTTTCTTTTCCAATGCATTTTCTTTACTTGTTAGCAATAGGGCCTCTATTTGGAACAATACTTCCACTCCCTTTTATTGTTCAATTAATGCCACCTAATCCAAACTCTATACATTTGGATGAGTAAAACTAACTGCTTTTGCTAGGTCCATGTATTTACTTCTTTAAAAACTACATTTTCATACAGAACACATTACCACAAGTATTATAAAAGGGGATATAATAAAACACAAACATTAACCAGGTAAAGTGGCAAACAGCATTCAATTTTGTTTAGTAACCCAAGTTCCTGGGTTCAATTCCCAACAATAAAATTTTAATTCTCCAGAATGATACTGTATATGTACCTGATTATTTAATAGCTATTTAACACTTGAACAAAAGAATTATTCTTGAGAACTATAACACCTGATTTTTAAATTCCATCAGTATGAGAAGGTTGTATGCACAGAACTTAAGCATCACAATTAAAAATAAAGTTGACTAAAATTATCAAGCCCTGGGAAAGAAGTTTCACTCAATTTTTACATAGATATAAAATCAGGAATCTCTCAGAACCTATCATTTTATTAGCTCAGGAAAAAAATGTATTAAGACATATAGCTCTGGAACACTTACAAACATGTATTCTACTTTAGTTAAAAAAAACCAAAAACTTGAATCTTGAAATTTTGTTCTATCTATGGCTAGTAAAAAAAATTTTCATAGTATCTTCTCTTTCACCTTCCATCAGTAAGTGATAGAATTCCTACAGTATTAATTCAACAAACGTAATTTTGTAACAAAACAAGCTGTCCAGAAGAAAGGAGAGGAGGGGTGACGACACTCTTCTGTTAAAACTTTTAAAGAAAACCTAGGTATACCAGCAATCAGGAGGCTGAGGCAGGAGGCTTGCTATGAATTCTAGGTTGGCTTGGACTACAGTGAATTCAAAGCTAGCCTGAACTACATATAAGACTGAAAACGCAAAAACAGACGGAAAAAAAGAAAAAAGAAAAAGAAACAAAACTTAGGTATAAAACAAAGGTATGCACTGTTTTAAACAGACAAAATAACTCATAAAATATCCAAAAGTAGACATGTATGTAAAAAACACTCGTTCAGGTAATCAATAAAATAATCATCCACATAGTTATCACTGATAAATTTTTACTCATGATGAGTCTCAATATTTTCTCCCCAGAGCTTACTCCAACTTAAGATATTTTCAGGTTGCTTTTTAGCTTAGTTTCTAAATTCTGTTTTCATTTCCCCCATTAGGATTTACACAGAAGCAAATTCTGCCAATTCTGTTCTGCCAAATTCTGTCAAGTACTAAAGTCCTCATGAATGAAACAAGAAACCACTAAAATGCTTTCCACACTAAGCATTTTCTCTACAGATCAAAAACAAGACAATTAAAGCACTCAGTATAGCTATAAAGGATTATAAGAATATTTTCTAAGAGGTATAGATCAACTTTGTTTGCTATAAAGTAATGCAGGGAAACACTAAAGCAATAAAAAAGTACTCAAGGCTTCAATTTTCTTATTAGAACCATAATAAATAAAACCTCCTAGGTAAAAAATATGCATTTTTTCATCACTGCTCTTCTATTGCCTATGTTTAATCTTCCTTAAAAAGAAATTGTTTTTTACTATCATTAGATTATCAAATTTATTTGTATATTTTCTCTCCTATAACAGATCTTTCTACCACCTGACTAGAAACATTTAAATAGACTATAAATTAGAATATTTTGGAATATCATTGCAGTAACTGATCATTTTAATGTCATTTAACCAATCAGCTTCATTCCTAGTAGTCTAATACCCACAAATACTGACGGATACAAATCCAAGGATGTTCATATCAGCAAGATTTGTAAAAGTAGATAAAAGAATGTAAATCTTGATCAATTGGTAAATACTTTTATAAATTACAACCACACTACTCAGTGAATTCAAAGGGTAAATCTAAGAGGATAATGGAGAATACTTTAAACTGTTTAGTCTTTTCAAAGAGAAATTATGACCTATTATTATTTTCTATGTGGCTTGACACTGCATGCATGACTCCACAGATGAGAATCACAAGTTATAAACCATTTTATCTGAATAGAGATCTATAACTTAGGAGGAAATAAAAGTTATTCATTCACATTAAATGTATACTAACAAAATACATTTTGAACAAGTGAATTTATAGATGTTATCTGATCAATTTAATTCTACTTTAATCTACCTAAATTCATGAAGTGAGCATTGATATTCATCACTAGCCTAATAAATTATTTAACTCAAAAGTTAAGTCCACAACAAAAAACTATAAAATGAAAACAAATGCTTATATTGCCATATACACATTATATTTAAAGACACAACAAAATGTGATTTGCGGAAGAATAAAAATGAAAGACCATAGAGATGAAATAACACACAATTCGAGTAAAAAGATTACATAGGTTTTTAAGGGAACACCTAAATAGATTGTGTTGTGCACGTATAGACAGGTTAGAATTTTAAAGGCGTAGGTGCTATAGAGGGTTAGCTCAGTAAATACTCAGTATGCAGCAAGACCCTGAGTTTATGCCCCTAAAACCTCCCATACCCAATTAAGATAAAGGAATTTAGTTTAATATAGGCATAATCAAGTTCTCCATTACCACAGAAGTAATGACATTAGAGGAAAACTGAGAAGTAGTCACGAAATCTTAATGGAAAAACAATTCAGTACATATGAGTTAAGAGTAATAAGTGACAATTCTTTCTAAAAATTTCTGCTTCAAACCATAAAATCATAGGGATATTTTAAAAAATCGAAATCCATACTTAGATTTGAACAATCTTTAATTCTGAGACTAAATATTAAGTCACTACTATTTTAAAAATGGCTTTGTATATAATGATGAAAACAGAAAAGGCTCTTGAGAGCTGGCAAAAAATAAATCACATATTAAGAAAATTGGATATCCATTATGAGAAAGATGATTTTGAACTCCTACCTCACATCATACAAAAAGCTTTCATAAATGATCAGCAACTGGACTTCAATCATAATTAAAAAGTTTCACCTTTCAAAAGGCACCATTAAGTAAAAAAACAACTTGAGAGAATGGGAGAAGATATCTACAAATCATACATACCTACCAAGCTTATACACAAAACATACAATAAACTCTTGAAACATTAATAATGAGAATGTATCTTAAAAATGGACAAGGTATTTGAGTAATTTTTCCCAAAAATGGCATATGAAAAGATGCTCAAAACTTTAGTCATTAAAGAAATACATATTAAAAGCCACAAAAAATACCACTTCACACAAAATAGCCACAATCAAAGATAAATGTGGTACCATATGCTGGTGTAAATATGAAAAACTAAAACAATCTATATTGCTTAGGATAAAAATGATAGCCATTTTATACTCTTGTCAGTTTTTCAAAATGTTAAACAGAGCTACCTATGTCTAGACAATTCTACTCCTAGATCTCTACCCAAGTAAAATAAAAAATGTTCGCACAAAATCTTGTACATAAATATTCACAGCATCATTCATAACAATGAAAAGGAGGAAATAACTGACACTTTAACCAATGAACAAAAAGTGGTACAACCAGTGCACTGTTGCGTAATTAAAAAAAAGTAATGATGTAATGAAAACAAGATTAGTCAAAGAAGCTAGACACACACACACAAAAAAAAGAAGCTGGACACAAGGACCACGTATTATAACGATTTAATCATATGGCAAAGTCCTAAAAGGGAAGTCTATAGGCAAAAAACGAGTGGTTACATGGAGCAGAAAGTGAAAATTAAGAGTAAATGCCAAAAGGCACAGCTTTCTTCCAAGAAAGGTTTTAAAATTACATTGCAATGGTAACTGTACATTCAATTTACTCAGTATCATTGCCTGGTACCCTTAAAATTGATAAAACTTATGCTATGTACCAATACCTCAATAATCCTGTTAAAAATAAATGAGGTTTGTCAGTGCACCTCAGTAGTACAGCACTTGCCTAACATGTATAACAACCTGAGCTGTAAGTTTCACAACTCCATACTATTGGATATGCCAGAGAAAAAAGTAAAAACCAATACTGACCTGTGTTCTGCCTCAAGAGAACTGGAAAGAACATCAGTTTGTGGAAAAGTTGAAGATCGAATAATCTGTTGGGAAATTACTGAGGCATTGCCATTCTCTTGTGGAATTTCATTTTCATCAAAGTTTCTGTTTATATCCCTTTCTTGATGAGTACTATTGCTGTTATGCAAACTGAATGAGTCGTCATCCTAGTTTTTAGGGAGTACAAAAGAGGGAATGAGCTCTAAAGAACATAGTTACTAAAAAACTTTAATAAATTCTGGCAAGATTCCCATGGAGAATATGTAAGTGTGATATTTACAATCATTACATTGTGAGCACACTGTAGTAATGGAAAAATGAGAACACTTAGAGCTTTTCAGAATCTAAGTAGTCAAATCTACTCAACAAAGGCACAACTGAAAGGATGAGGATGGAGACAGAGAAAAAGAAAACCAATATAAACATATTTTTAACACGAGTTTTAGCACAATGAAAAACTATTTTAGAAAGAAGTCATTATTTATACAAATGGTTAGCTATTCTTTTTTTAGTAAGAATTTGTTCCAAAATCTTAAGTATTTGCATAAGTATTCCAATGACTGTATCAATTCAAGTATTACTGCAAATCAATTACCTTTTCTGAGCCAGCATGACTTTCATCTTCATGTTCCTCTTCTACTCTGTCCCTTTTCAATGCTTTCAAAAATTCACTCTTCTTATCAGTGCGCATCCGTGTCAGTTTGGTTAGACGAGGCTGTTGATTAAGTTTGTCAACAGGCGAAGAGGAATTCGAACGATTACACTAACAGGAAATTCAGAAATACTAATAAATATGTATCCATGAACTGGTATCAATATAAAGTTCACAACTATTACAGCTCTCTTTTTTACCTTTATTCACATGTAAAACTGGCTTTCAGAGTCTTTTTCTCAATCCCTACGTATTTTTTTCTTTTCACTTAATGAGTCAACAAAAGAATGTTCTCTCAGAGACAAGGAAACTCTTGATAATACCAGTGACACTTTTTCAAATTATGATTCAAAAGTCCTAGGATCCAAACAACAGATCCAAGAAGATATGTTTTTCAAATTTAACAATACAGTTAACATTTTTTTGATCCCAGATAGGTGAGGAAAACTCTCTGGTGTGCGAGTTTCAAAAGTTTGGCCAAAGGAAAGAAAGCTACATGTACTCATTTTCAGTGTAATAACGTTCCCTCTTCGTCTTCTCTCTCTGCCTTAATGTTGACATTAAGATCCAGTTTCCCCCAAAAAGATACTTGTAATTCTAAGACAATGTATACCTCATTATTAATCAAGGTTCAACTGCACAGCATGACTTAGAAACATCAAATATAAATTATGCAAACAAAAAGGGCCAGGGATGTAGCTCGGAAATCCCTCAGATTTGATCTACAGTACCACTACTACTACTACTACTACTACTAATAATAATAATAATAATAATAATAAGGCAGTTTTCATAATTCATTTGTTAAAAATATTTTTTCTAGTTGATGTATATAGAGGCTTCACTTTATTACTTTACTGTTTAGTAAGTTTTCAAATCTTAAAAACTTCTCAAAGTTCAAAAATAAAAAAATGTATGTGCACCACACTAAGGGAACTAAAATAGGTCATTTTATGAATTACGTATCTTACTGTTAAAACAGGTCATTTAATGAATTATGTATCTTACTGTTAAATTATGATTAGCAGTGGGGCACAGTGATGCATACTTATAGTTCCAGCTATTCAGAAAGCTGGGGCAAGAGGATCACTTGAGTCTAGGAGTTCCAGACCAGTCCGAACAAGACAGCAAGACTTTGTCTCAAAAAAGCATTATTAAAACTGTAAGTGAGACATGGTGATGCACCCCAATAATCATAGCACTTAGGGTAAAACAGGAGGATCACTTCAAGTTCAAGGATAGCCTAGGTTACATAGTGAACTTAAGTCTAATCTGAACTATACAGTAAGACCTTGTCAAAAAGAAAAGAAAAAGAAGAAAGGAGAAGAGGAGTAGAAAAAGAAAAGAAAAAACAAAGTGAAGCAAAGCAAAGCAAAAGGAAGATTACTCAAACTGTTACAGTTCCCCAAAACAATTTTTAATGCCATACCTCTTTCACTGAATTTGTCGATGGACTAAAATTCTTGGCAGTTGATTTAAAAGCATTGAAGTTGCCAACACTATATGCAGACTCATGAGGGAAAGAAGTTCCAACTTTATTTTCTTTAGTTTGGCTTTTCCATTGTATAGGCTAAAGAAAATCAAACATCAATGTGTATCAAAGACAAGACTATAGAAAATAAAGAAAAGCCAAATGAACACAATAAGACAAAGATAACTACATTTGGTTCATGAAGAATTTTTTTGTTACTTCATTTCTACATGATTCTGTTCCTTTCTGTCTTTTCCTATAAATATAATTAAAGCTTAATATTCAGATGAAAACAAATTTATTTTTTCAAAGCTTTATAAAGCTTAAAGCTTTTCTAACCTGATAAAACATATTAGTTTCAAAAACCTAAAGCTGAGTACCAACTAAATAGCATTTTATATACACACACGCAGTTACCACTAACAAATACATCATACATGTATCGAGCAATACAAAATCTATACATTTCATGCACTATTAAACACACAGGGGACACACGTCACATACATACATAAAAGATAATTTTCACTTCTCACAATTTAGAACTTACTTTTGCAGGTGGAGCAGCAGGCTTAGGGACTAAGCCTTTATAAACACTTGGACCAGTTCCATTCTTAACTGACTGCGACTGAAGATTTCCTACTACTGGGAATCCAGATAGCTGTAAATCTTTTGTATTACCTTTCTTAATGACCAGCATTCTTGGAGTTCTAGATTTAGGATTCGGAGGATATTCTGCACAAATAAAGCACAAACAAGAGTTACACAGTGCTTCAAATTTTACAATAAAACAAATCCAACTAAAGAATACTACAGTTCAAATCCAACCAAATATTTTAAACAGCTGTTTCCTGAGTAAGACAGTTAAGTCAAATAAGTGTAAACTATATACCAGCTTAAGAAATAAGACTAAAACAATCTGACAGTATACAGCAAGAATTGGGCAATGTCATGTAACACAGATGAATTCAATAGACAAGATTGAAAAACAAGTTTAATTAAATTGTAACATTTTTCCTTAATTTATGAAAAACTAAATTTCACCCTATTAACTCTTTACCAGTTTTTTCACTCTACTTGTAAAATCACAGTCAATAAGCAAGGACCTACCTCTATTTCTTAGTATCTACATTAATTAAAATAGTAAAAAGAAAACTTATGTTCATAATATTGTTTCATTAAATATTTACTTACAATCTACTGTACAGGGCATCAGAGAGATGGGACAAGTAACTCAATCTTGTTTTTTAAAGATAGCACTAGATCTAACTGCAAAATGCAGGCTTTTCTCTAGACTATTGTACTTAAAATATAAAACACTTCACTGACTTTAATTAATGTTCATGTGCACTACAGATATACATACACAGCCACAATTACTGTAGTGAAGTATCTTTCTTTACAGAAATTCTAAAAGCATGTTTCATCAATCCATTTAGAAGATTTAATTTTAAAAGAGAAATCCCAAGAAAATCTAAATCAATAGTTCTGCACATAACATATCCTATGAATTGATGAGCTGGGCAGAGTTCTCTGGGGACACCCTGGCCAGAACTACACCAAACTTACTACTGGTTCATCACAACAAAACTACACAAAAATTCCCAGAGGAACCTGTTAAGAATCTCTGGTTCATCTAGGGCTTCAAACTTTCTCAAAGAGAATACTGATTTAGTGCTTTACCTAATTGTCATGTTGACAGACAAAAGAATAAGAGCTTAGAAGAAAGAAAAAGTTCATCTACCAGGACAACTTTTTTCTTAAATACCTAACAATCTATTGGGGCCAAGACGTCTCCATCCTGTGACAATACTGCTAACACACTAACACTAGATGAAATCTTATTCCCTAGGATATAAGGACTAGGACAAACACTTTAACTTTTTGAGTACCTAAAAAGGTCCAATATGAAGACCTTAAGAAAATAAATAAATCAAACATCTTCAGGTGCACACAAGAATGCAGAAAGGTACATCACTAATAAAATGGATACCTTTTCTGAAGATACATGACAAAGTGAACAAAACAAAAAATAGGATGATCTCAGACAATCAAGAACACTAATGTAAGTTTGCAATGATTACTTTTGGTAAGCAGATGATGAAAAACATGAATAAAATATTTTTAAAGGCACCTGATACTAACAATAAAATTTAAAAAGAAATCTTGGCCTAAAACTTAAAAGCTAAATTAAATAAAAAACCAGGGTTTTGAAAAAAAAGACCAATGCTTAAGAAATAAAACAAATAAAACAACAGCACAAAAAAGTGCATGGCAAGAGGAGACTAGGTCTTACTGTGTGGGTCAGGCAGGCCTTGAACTTGTGGCAAACCTCCTGCCACAGCCTCCCAGAATGCTAGGATTACAGCAGCAAGCCACCACACTCAGCAAAATTAGTACTTTTGTAATGTATTTATTAGAATTTGAACACTAGCACCATGGCTGCTAGTTGTACAACTCTGTACAAGTTATTTAATCTTTTTCTAGAAAATGGAGGATAACTGTGAAAGTTAATGTGAAATGTTTTATATGTAAATAACTACAAATTACAGAAAAATTACACATCGTCTTCAATAGTTGCAATTCAAATTAAAAGTATGATTTTTCAAAAATTTTATCTTGACCTGTAGAGGTAGAGAAAGCAAAAAACAACAAAAGCACAATAGAGCAATCTTTATCCTTAAATACTCTAAACTTGCTCAGTTAAGAAAAGTTCTTTAAAAAACAGAAGAGATGATAAACTGAATTTGCCTCATTCATATTTTATTATTTGAGTTTTAATTATTTTATATTATATCTATATTTAGATTATCTCCAAAAATAACCTATCACAGATTACCTCCAGAAACTTTCCTAATTAAATATTAAGTTTTTGGATTCAAACACTAGTTTGTTAATTGGTAAAATTAATGAGAATGACACAAACAGTTTATTTTTAAAGAGAAAGTTCATATATTAATGAAAAAAGGTGTTAATCCCTATATAAAAGAATTAGAAAACACATCACTTCAAGTAACTTCCTTTCAAAAACTGTGTGTGCTTTATTGAGTGGCATTCATGTAAGCAAGTGTTCTAATATTAAAATTGTATTTTTAAAAACAAAGTAAATTTATTGAATTTTCATTCCCTTATTTCTCCCTCCCCTACAAATAACTGTAATCTGAGAGCAGTATCATTTTGTCTTGACATGTTTTCTCCACATAGATGAATAGCTTCATTCCTTCAATACAAAATCAGCGGTGGAAGGAAAGTGACTCAGTTCGTCGGAAGACAAATTAAAATATTGCAAAATTAGTCATACAGATAATTCTGAGCTGTAATCTCAATTCTTTAATCTCTTCTGTCTTTCAAAATACTCAATACTTACATACACAAAGTCTGATTCAATCTCTTAGTTAAGTACTTCTTTGATCTAGCATCCAGAAAATTCATCTCTACCTTCTAATATACAACTACATTTTCCTTATTGGCTTTGAAGAAAGTAATTATCTGATAAATAATCATTTACTAGACACCTAGGCTGAGATTTTAAAACAGTAGACAATTTAATGCTTTTCTCATTATTACTGTTGTACTATCTCACCTAACAGATGAAGAAATTCATTCAAAAATGAAGTTTACATTATCTGCCTAAAAATCTAAGTAATACTTTAGATCTAATGTTAGGGTCTAGACCTATCTGATTCCAAACCCATTGTTTCCAGAAGAAATGGAAATTAAGATATTTCAAAAGGCTTACCATCTCCAACTAAAAATACTATACTGAATGATCAGGACAACAGGCTTCCAAGAATACTATCACTAGTATTCAGGACTACCATGATTTTGATACCAGTTACTACATTAGATAACTTTCCATCTCAAGATAAGGGGCAAATTTAATGCATAAAACCCACACAACCAAAAGAAAATACTATCTGAATTAAGTTAGCAATGTTAATCTGAAGATGAAACTTGGTCATAAGGTGATAGTAACTCACATCAAGTGCAAAGAATCTCTCTACCAAGCAACTGAAGCGAACTCCTGTTGTGTACCCTCAAATGTAAGATAGAAAAATTATCTAAAATCAGTTTTTAAAGACTGATTTTTATATGCATTTTGATGGTTTTGAAGATTTTTTTTCATTTCTACATAATTAACAAACCTGTTCTGGTTTATAGTACTATAAGAATATTAATTAAAACAAGTTTCACTAACAATATTTATCTTGATAACAACCAAATGGTATTTTTCCTTTAATAAGGTTCCCAACACTGGTCATATAATGAAGAGCCTTGAAATACATGCTGCAAATACAAACGACTTCCATACTAATGTTTCTAACTCTAATAAAATAAATGTGCATCAAATTATCTACACATCCCATTAGTTTTTCCTTCTCAAACTTGAACATGTCTTGCATAACCTTCTTAAAATGTTTTGACTTTCTGTATGACACTGAAAGAAAGTAGAGTTATTTCAATACTCATGAAAAGAATTCTATTACAATGACTTCTTTATTTTTATCAAAAGTCCTTTTAAAAACAACCTCACCGGTTTTCTTGAGCTACCTGATTTAATATAATTATGTCACTCAATTTGTATGCTTCTGACTAGTACTGTGATTCTCTAGAAAACAATACCACTTTACAACCAGTCATTAATTTGTTTTGATTCTGGGGGTTAAACAATTTTGTAATAACCTTTACACTCCAGAAATCAGGTTAAGTCAATCAAGTTATCAAGGTATACACAGAAACATTAAACTAAAACATGACCACTAAGTTAATTTCCAGTAAAATCACCAAATTAATTTCTAGTTAAATTTTTCATTATTTAATTTGTTAAGCACTAAATGTTCTAAACTCTGCTGATAAAATGTTGGTGACATACTCGCTCACTGACATAAAAACAGCCAGGACTTCTGAAAACCACAAATTAGTAAATAGCCACCAACTGCATCTCAAACATACTTCAAACACACACACACATACCACTTCCCATTAAAGTAACAACAACACAATCGTTTTTAAATTCTCATAGATACACTAAAGTATCTTGAATTCCTGTTTGAGTCATATTATTAAGAACATGTATACGGTTTATCTAGTAACTATTAATCTTATACACCAAAGAATTGGGATACTAATTAAGACAAATAATAATAATAAAAGGTCACAAGTTTATGCTGCACAAGGATGTTTCTAATAAAGCCAGCTTAAGTTCTTAGTAGAATTAAATTTAAGCAAATTAAAATTATTTTAAATGGTTTAACTACTTTCCCTTAAATTATTTTTTAATTGGAGTATTATGTTCAGAATCTGCCAATGTTTGATATATAAAAATCATAGTTTTGGGAACAAACTGCTTTTTTCTTCTTATACATATTAACATTTTCATTAGTAAATTTTTACTTACCTGGAAGGAAGTATCACTAGAAAAGTTCTACTGAAGTCTTTCCTAAAATTCTCTCGTCTTCCTCAGGAACAAAGCTATTCTAAATGTTGCAATGAGGAAAACAATACTTGGGAACCCAGAGGGGAAAGTGAGAGAGGAATAATGAAGTGATACAATGAGAGTTTCATTGTATTTCTATGGGAAGTACTGGGGATTTAACAACCATGCCACAATTAACCATCTTTTTTTTATTTTTAATCCAGACACATTTCTCAGTTTACCTAAAAGTAAACAGTACACCTTTCATTTAAACATCTTTTCAACTAGTATTCAAAATCCTTAAGATCAGCCCTGAAACAGCAGAACCAATATCTTTATATTAATACATTTTAAGTCTCATTATTTTCAAAAATGTCTTTGCCTTTAAAACATTTCTAAGATTAAGTCAAACAAGGATCATTACCAATAGTATCTATAGGTAGTTTTATATGACAAATGCTCAGTGACATTCTATTTTTTAAAAATTTACTCATTCTAACAAAGTAAGAATTATTCCTAATTTCTTAGAAATTCTATTTAACACCTTCCAGGTGGTTTCTACAGTCTTATGCAATCAGCTGTTCCCAGAAAAACTGAATAATAAGGAAACATACCTAAGAGAGGAGCTTGGGAGATTTTTTTGGTTGGGTATGTGTGTGTCTGGGCGTGTAGGCCTGGGGAGAGTGGCAGAAATACTAATTTGCAATACAGAAAAAACAATGCCATTCACATGGTTCTAACAAAAGTGCCTGACCACCCCCACCCACCACCCTCAAAAAACCCTTAAATAAAAGAGGGAGATCAAAGAAACAAAGTAATTCCCCGGAGTTTCACCCAATAAATACAACTGAGTTTAAAATAATGCCTTCATTATTAGGACTAAGAAACTATAAGCCACAATCCTTTGGTCTTAGTAAGTTAATGACTTTCAAAACAAAAATACAGAAGATTGGTACAAGTTTCAAGTGGACATAGCACTCTGAATTTGATACTGAATAATTAAATTTATTTTCCAGATGTTAAATCTTGTAAGATTTTCCATTATTTTAAACTTCACTTGACTCTTTTAAAAGCTGTCTACTTTATAGTACACATCAGTGTACTTTAATCTTCTGAAGAGGCAATCAAACTGTACTCATTAGTTTTAAAGGGAGTTGTTACCAAAAATCTCATTAAGCTTTGAAAATCAAAAAGGCAAATAATTTCAAATATAGACTAGCTCCACTGGAAAATCTATCAAATTATTTTTAACAGCCTAGGAAGAGTCATTTCACAGGTTAAAAAATTAATTTTGTCACATTATGATCAGAGTACTTATTTTTCCATTCAACTAAGTTTCGAACTATGAGAAACAAGTTAAGTTTTTTGGATTTTAGATTATCGGGCTGCTGCTGTAAACTTACATTAACAATCATTTCCAAAAAACTCAATCAAATTGAGGACACTTAATGGCACTAACTTTGCAGATGTACTATTTCAAGTAAAGCTCTTCTACTACCTCAAATCTTTTGTGTTAACTTTCTGTAGGTTAGCACACCAAAAACAGGTATTTATAGAGAAATTTTTAGTATGGCCTACTATTATTTAAAAAAAAATATACCCACATTTTGAACCCCTCAAAAATAGATAAAAAATCACTTACCCCAAACACCTGCAGCTAAAGATTTATTCTGATTTGGTTCTCTTTCATATTCAGGATTTAAAGAAGGCTGGAATAAAGTTAGAATTAAAATTCTTAAAAGTATTTAAATGTCTCACATTTAAGCAATAAATCCTTTACAAGCAATCTCATAAATATAAATCCTGTAACTGAAGAACCTGATATGATCAACTCTTAATAATTAATAACTACTCATAAACTTTACTTATTTTCAGCTTACTCTGCTAACCATAAAAATGCTGTCTATGTGCACTGCTAGCTGAAGGGATAAAAAAGTTTTTCTAATCATCCATGAGTTTCTGATGAAAGTATGAATTTTTAAAAAACAAAAAGGGCTGGGTGTTGCTCAGCAGTACAGCGCTTGCCTAATAAATGAGAACCTGAGTTTGTTCCCCAGCATCACGCACCACACAAACACACACATACACAAAGCAAAACAAAACAAAACAAACGACAACAACCAAAGAAAAAAAATAAACAGCACGGTTATGCATGTGTGTAGTCCCAGCTACCTGGGAGGCTGAGGCAGGAGACTGGCTTGAGTCCAGGAGTTCCAGGCCAGTCTGAGCAAGATAGCAGCAAAGAGAGAATGTGGTCTTTGTATCAGGCTGAGATATAATTCCTCCTTAACATAAAGTCAAGATCAGAGAAGAGGAAGAAGGTTATTATCACTGGGTTGCTTTAGTTAACACACTTGTTCTCAAAGCAAAGTGAAAATTTTTATTTCAACTAGTAATACTCAGGATTATTAAATAGAAAAAAAAAAAAGATGAGTGTTGAATGTGTATTCTAAACCTGACCTTGGTAGGTATGTTTAGAATCTTAAACTTTGTGTTTTATGTTTTTCACATTACCTGGCAACACAGCCAGCCTCATCTAAAGAAGATGATACAAGTTAAATAAAATGAATGTAAATAAATATTTTTGAATAACTCATATAAAGTATTACTATGCACTGAACTGATATTACTGTAAAGCCTCAAAAGAATATACATGCATACCGTAATGATTCATTCCTTGATACATACAAATTGAATAGGGTTAAGATTTTGTGGCTGACTATAAATGCCCTCCCTCCCTCCTTTTATAAACTTGAGTACTGGGGACTGAACAAGCACTCTACCACTGAGCTATATCCCCACTCCCAGCCCTTTTTATTTTGACAGTGTCTCACTAAGTTGCCCAGGATGGCCTAGAACCTGGTATTCTCCTGCCTCAGTCTCTAGAGTAGTTAGGACTACAGAACTGTGCCACCATGTCCAGCTGCATTTCTTAATTATACTGTATTATTGGACACATTAGAAATTACATTCAATTTACATTCCATGTCTAAGATTATAACAAATGCTAACCAGGATCTTGGGAGCAGAGCTGGGAGATAATAACAGCATCAACTAGCTTTTATTAAATGTTTTACTGGGGGGATTTGGCTCAGCAGCATGAGCGCCTGCCTTGCAGGCAGGCAGTCATGAGTTCAATCCCTGGTACCGATAAAAAGACAAAAAAAAAAAAGGTTTTACTGTATGTCATGAACATGATTCATAATTGATTCACTTGCATTACCTATTTAACTCTCACAACACTAAAGACACCACTATTATTCTGTATGGTTATAAAAATACATTTTTCTAGTGCTATCAAATGAAAAAAAACAGACCACTCAAGTGGGAAGGCACAGATGCCAATGTTACTTGAAACACGACTTGAGAGTAAGTATACTGCATTGCTTTCCTATCCTAAATCAAATCTATCAAATTGTCTCCCTTATTCAAACTCTCTACTTATACTTCCAAATGTAGTTTGGAAACCTGTCTTCATTTACCTCAGCTACCTAGCTCAAGCCATTATTTTCTCCTAAACCACTGACACTGCTCTTCTAACAAGTCTTACTTCCACCACAATAATCTACTCAAGATCTAGCAACTGTAATAGTTTTAAAAGTAAAACCTATTACATTAGCTATTCTTCTTTTGTTTTACCCAGTACTGGGGGCCACTGGGCTTGCTGGAGATTGAACATAAGGCTTTTACTATGCTAAGAAAACATTCTACCCCTGAAATGTGTATTCAGTCCATTTCAACAAAGCTGGTTCCTTTCCTTTTCATGCCAGCCCCAGATTAAATATCTTTTCTACAAAAGCCTCTCTTTTAACTTTCCAAACCCAACAGCCAAAAACTATGAATTTCTTTTTTATGTTCTCAATGCTCCTGCTAGAGGAGCAATCTTAATGAAAACAGGTACCACATATTCTATGTAAGAACTGTCACACACAGTCAGTCATTCAAATGTATAACTAAAAATTAACAATATATAGAAAGATAAAAATATAAATTCTCTCTATCTGTAATACATTAAGACTTCCATAAATCATAATTACTATGTAAATAGGACTGAATACTGGACCAATTTTTCTCTAATTTAAGGACAGCATTTACATAATCAACATGATAGGAGCTAAGAACTGGAAAAAATTACAAAACCTTTGCTCTTTAATAGTTTGTACTTATTTTCAGCAGTAGAGTTAACATTAATTATATCTGACTTAAGATAAAAATTAGTGTTTTCCCTGATCACAATAAAACTTGAATAGAGAAATATTTGTAAAACATAGAGCACTATTCTAAGAGTAGCTTAAGGATCACATAGGAATAATCAAGTGCTGACAATACAGGGACTAGGTTTAGCTTTAGGATAGATAGCTTGCTAGCATGCACAAAGCCCTGGGCTCAATCCCTAGCAGCACATGCACGCGTGCGCGTACACACACACACACACACACACACACACACACACAACAAATTAAGTAAATAAATTTGTTGAAAATAAATAAATTAACAATGACAATCCAAATAAAATGTACTGGAGCTAGTGTGGTGGCACATGCCTATAGTTTCAACTAGTCCAGAGTGTGAGATATGAGGAACACATGAGGCCATGAGTTCAAGACCAACCCCACCAACATAGCGAGACCCTATCTCAATAAATCAATCAATTGATAAAATGTATTGGCAAAATGCTCTTTCCAAAAGCTTAATAGTTTTTAAAACCATATTATGATGCAATTGCAAATAAACCATAACTACTAGCTCTCAGCAAAATCACTTTTCTACAAGGAATAAAATAACACAAGTACACTAAAAGTTTTTAAAGCTATATACATAGTGAGGTGCTGGAATAACCTGAAGGAGGAAGAGAGAGAGCGTGTGAGAGGGAAAAGGAGGAAAGGAGAGAGAGATTAAGTGAAAAGGTGAAAAAAGGCAGGAAGTAATTAGGGGAAGGTAATAAAAACTCCTTACAAAATGTTAGGCTTATAAAATAACTGCACAGGTATTTACCTGGCAAGTGTGATTTTTACAGAAAATAACCTGCATTAATAAAGCCTCCAAAGTTTTCCCTGATACTAAAATGCCACTTTTTAAGAAACTTACAAAATCCTCAGCCTCAAACTGTTTTCGTTCCCTTTTGTCTTCTTTCCTCCCAGTTTCATTGTCAGGTATGTTATTTTCATGTAGTCCTTGGCTTTTTCCAGAATGGAAAATACTGCTACGAGAACGAGAATTTCCACCATGGTATCCCCCTCGGTGATTTATGTTTTCTGTACCATTTCTGCCGTGTGTACGCCATCCATTTTTTTCTTTCCTTCCAAAGGTACCTTTGAGGGTACGAAAAGCAATTATCAGAAATATGCTAAAAATAAAATATGCAATTTCTCTAATAATCAAAAAATAAAAATTAGAATAAGACAGTATTTCACGGGCCAGAGATTTAGCTCAGCAGTATAAATGCCTCCCTGGCAAACGTGAAGTCAGAGTTCAATCCCCGGTACCAAAAAAAGAGACAGTATTTCATGCCGATGAATATAAATTCAAAGCTAGTTACACTTAAAAGATTAAAAAGCAATCAAAACAGCCTTAAAACTATGAAGAATATTATCCTTATCATTCCTTAGCAAATGTTACCTCCATTAGGACGTCCAATACCAGAATCAAAGCCATCTGAAGAATTATGTCGTCGACGATTCACATCATATCGATTTTCTGTCCATGAAAAATTTTCAGAGTGTTTTTCAAAATTCAGTGATGACTGAAATGAAGTATTAAACATACAGATAAATATACTTATGAACCTAAATAACTTTTAAAACTATTGACAGTCCACTTTACTTTCAAGAATGTTAAATGGTCAAAGGAGAATACTGTGTAGCTGTCTTCCAAGTATTTATTAACTGGTAACTCTACATGAGATAGAATCCATTTCTGGGTTTTTTTTTGTACCTATAGAAACAGGCAACTTCTCTACAAGTTTTCAAGGGTTACTATCTTCTTTTCCAAAAAACTATTAAAGGTAAAACAATGTTATAAGGGACACAAGTTACAATATGATACATTTCTCATAGCAAAGTGTAACATTCTGAATGAGATACTAGACTACTTTATAAATATACACATTTTTATTATATCGCAAAGCTTTCTTCTAATTCAAAATAAGAACTGCCAAGTATTAGTTCAGTTTTAAGTTCCCTAGATTGATTTCTATTCTCTTTTCCCAAATCAACTATCTTAATGTGAAAATCACAATCAAAATCCTCACTAATTTTTTAAAATGAGCAAAGGATACGAAAAATAATTATCAGAAATATGAAGAGCCAAAAATATGTAATTTCTCTAATAATAAAAAAATAAAAATTAGAACAAGACAGTATTTCATGATCAATGTGAGTAGCCAACTAAAACTTATCTACTTCCAGAGTCAGTCATTTCAAGATTACCATCCTAGACTTAGTTAACAAACTCTCAGCAATGTGTCAGCATTCTCACCGATTCCAGCAAGCCACAATCAGTCTCCAACTTGTTTTCTTGATTCTGTCAGCCCTTTTGATTTGATTTGATTTTTGGTATCAGGGATTGAACTCATGACCTCATCCTTGCCAGGCAGGTGCTTATGCCACTGAGCTAATTCCCCAGCCTGAGCCCTTTTTATTTTAATATATAATGATCACTATTCACCACCCAACATACAATAAATGGAGGAAAATGTCAAGACCTTCTCTTCATCAAGTCATTATTAAGCAGCTAAATCTATTCAAACACTTCCCTTTTTCTTTAACCGCTCACTACAAATTTAAGATTAAAAAATAAAACCCCAACATCACCTTTCAATAGTTTGTAACTCACATACATCCTTCAACTCCAATCCACATGACTGAAATGTGCCTTAAATTTTAACTCTTTTCTCTTTTTAACTCTTAAATTTTGCTCTTTTCAGGCAAAACTTTTGGAACAAAGGACTGAAAATTACAGTTTTCTCCCCACACAAATTATGATCTATCTTATTAATCTACTTTATCTTTCCTATTTATGAGCAGTATTTTAGACACTATGGAGAAGCCAAAGAATATTACAGTGTACACTTATACCTATAAAATTTAAGATGGCATACACAGAAGATAGTTGTGACCCCACTCAGAGCACCAGATAACTGATATAATAATTCAAACTTCATTATTGTAAATCATCAGTATTTCTGTTTTCAAGTATCACTAAGTCATATTCCTTACATTTTATGGCTTAAGAATCTAAATACTCAACCCAAATTTTAAAACTACACAGTAAAATAATCATTAAGCTGAAAAATTGGGTTGTTTACACCAACAGTGATTTGTGGGTGCATAGTGCACCAACAGTGATTTGTTGACTGCATAAAACATAGTAAGCCATAAACTGTGGCTCTTCAGGGAGAGGATTTAGCAGATATTTATCCTAACAATACTATCAACAGATAGATGCAAAGGCATTGTCTTGCTGCTGTCAAGGTTTAATGATTAAACAGATTTCATTCCTCTTCCATCACCTCCTCTCATCTCTTTTTACCTGTCTTCAAACTTTCTCATTAACAATTATTAAACTGATCTTCTATAGGATGAGTATAAAAAGGCGCTACTACATACTTATTTCCACACTTCTTATTTCAATTAGCCCAGTTCTAACATTACATTTACGTAATTCTCTCATTTACACACTTCACTACACTACCATTACAACTTGCTATCTATCTGCCTGCCTGCCTCCAAAATTATTTCATTTATACTGTCTTTGTCAAACTGATCATATTTATGTTGTATGGTTGCCCTTTTTTAATCCTCAACCTATTGGTCTGTGACATTACAGACTGACAGAGGGCCTCTATTTTAAAAAATACTGTTCTTCCTTGTATTGTTGGACATCTGGCTTATTCCTCTGTCTATAACGGAAGAGAAAGCATTATTCTTCAGTGTTGGTGACTTGTTCTAATCTTCTAATAGTGTATTCTCTAGATGCATTTATCTAGTATCAAAACTTAATTACATGCTGAATCATCAATCCCAATTCTTTTTCCCAGTTTAGAGCTCAATGCTGGTCTCTAAGAGGTCTGCTGATTTCAAATTGAGATCTCCTGGGCATCTGTAATTTAAACACATCCAAAACTGCAGGGCTTGGTGGCACACACCTATCATCCCAGTATTCAGGAGGCTAGGACAGAAGGATCTCAAGTTTCAAGGCCAGCCTAAACTATATAATAAAACTCACTTGTAATGAAGAGAAGAATCCCCAAAACTTATCTGTTATATCATCTTTATGTTTCTATTTCTTGGGTGACAGTAACTAATATTACCTGGGTCTCCTAAAGTCTATTATTTGAGAAAAATTATTTCACTAAAAAGACAAAACGAAAGTCATTTTCAAATCAACAAAAACCAGAGAAGCATTGTAACTTGCAGATCTACCCTAAAGGACATACTTATAAAGTCCTTAGGACTGAAAGAAAATGACAACAAAAGAAAACACATATAATGATGTGAAATCTACCAGAAATGGTAAATGTGTGAGAAATGTTAAAAGTGTGAATACTCCTCTCTGAGTATGTACATATATACATGCACTGTACATACCATTTGAAAAACTTCATTCTCAATCTGTAAAACAAAATAGCTGCATAATCCCCTGAATAACCAATGACTTATAAGTTTATCTGGGAAAACAAAAATAGGGAAAGCCACAGGAAAAAAATATCAAAATTAGAAGCAGAGACTGTAAGTCATGCTAAATATTAAACATATCATACAAATGAGCTTGATTCAGACACAGGAATAAACAAAAATTTAAATAATAATAGTTTTAACAATGAATCTAAATGAAACTAGGCACACAGCGTCAGTCAGTTCCTCACCCAAAACCCATGGGACAACGTATTATTTGAATTTCAGAATTTTAGAGGTGTGTGTGTGGGGGGGGGGTGTATGTACGCATACATAAATATGTACATGTGTGTATACACACACACACACACACACAAAAACAATACCATAATCAAACTTGCATAGTACTTCTTCATATGTATGGTATTTCAAATGCACAGAATTTTGTGCGTATTATCTATATATAAAATACGTCATAAACATGCTTAGTATTTCTTCACAGTACAAATGGGATTTTTTAAAACCCACAGCTATATATATATATCTTTATATATATATAGCTTCACATATCTTCACATTATAATGTAGAAATAAATTATGAAAAGTTTCCTTGCTTCTTGGTTTGGAACTACAGTGGGGTGGAGCTAATGCTCACTGTCAAGTGCTTATCTACCATGCACATACACAAGGCCCAGAGTTGAAACCCAGAAGAGTGAGGGGGGATCACAAACAAACTACTACTAGCTGTAAGATAAAGGAAACCAAATATAACACCTTAACATGCTATAATCAAGTCATGCTTATCCAAGGAACAGAATTATGGGGGGGGGGGGTTCTTCATTTGTTCACCACATTAAGTTCCACTTCCATAAACTTAAGAATATAACATTTTCATCTGTTTAACATCCATAAAGTTCCTTTCACTCATTTCCTGAATTTAAAAAATACTGTTAAGACATACAGAAAAAGTATTTGATAAAACTGAATAGATCCACTTATGATATAAAAAAACAATTATCTCAGAAACTAGGATAAATCTGACAAGTTACATCTATTAAAATTGTCTAACATACAATGGCAAAGTATTAAGGTTACTTTAAGCCCTCAGTTCCTCATACGCGGTCACACATGAAAAATATATACTTCAGCAAAATGTACACATAAAAAATATATACTTTTATATACACATAAAAAATATATACTTCAGCAAAATGTAGTTGGCTGTGCATCTCAGTAGTTAGCTGCACTAAGCCAAAACAGGAAGCAATCTTTGTATTCACCCTCTTGATGAATGGCAAGGTGTATGCACGTGTCAAAGTATGAATAGTATCACCCACATTATGTGCTGGTACAGTTTTGTTTATTTATAATCTTTTAAATTATTTTCTTTTGATTTTTCTTATAGAATTAGCTCTATTCAATGCAATATCACATTAAGATCCACTTTTACAACTTTGGGAGGAAGTTGAAACTAAATTATCAGGTGATTCTGCTATTGATGATGACTTGGATTGTGTAAGCCAAACAAGGGAATCAAATTTGACAAGAGATCTAACAAGAATACAGAATGAAGATCTTGATTAAGATATTAAGATGAGGAAGAAAACAGTAATGTAAATATTTGACTTGTCAAAATGCTACAAAATGATCATGTATACCTGAATGATCCAATGTTAGAACTAGGTTAGAAAATGTTACTAGGTTCTTGCCAGAGGTGAAACTTACTGGATGAAACGCCAACATTGTGATTCAATGTTGGTTATAAAGGATGGCATGCTTAAAGATGTTCTAAAATACAGTAATAATGAAATACAAGAAAACATTCTATAAGCATCAATAGTAATACTCAAAGCCTTCATAGCAGAATTTTATTAGAGAATTTATGGAGAAGTGAAAGGTGTGGCACTGAAATTGTTAGAACAGTAACACTCAAAAGATTTGGTTTCCTTCAAATTGCCTACATTTTGATAACAAAAACACATGCCAAGAAAGAAAACAAATCTGACAATTTGGCTATTTTGTTCATTTATTGAAAGCTTTGTTTCAAACTGTCACGCAATTTATACACCATCTGAATACATGACAATTGACAATTTGCATCATTTCATGAGTGCTGAAGCTTTAGGTAATATATACTAAACAAACCTTCCAAATATGGCGTAAAAGTATACGCTCCAGTAGATGTGAAGACATTCACACCTTGAATTTGGAAATGTATCCTGGAACTCAGCCTCCAAGTCTTTCTTTGTGCAGTGATAAACCCTATGATTTTGTGAAGAGATCTGCTGTACTTACTTAAAAAAGTAACCCAAATGTGACATTTGACAACTGGTTCACTAGTTACTCATTGATGTTACACTTGCTAAAAGAACACTAGCTGACCACTACAGGAACTATCTGCAAGAACAAAGTCCAGATGCCTCACATATGTTGCAAGTTCACAACAGAAAAATGTATAGTACAATTTTTGGATTTCTGAAAAATGTAATATTGGCCTCCTATATGGCATAGAAAAACAAAGTACTGATTCTGTCAACACTGACCATGATGATAAGACTGACTTATTAAGATTGGTCATGGTGGTGCATACCCACCTGCAATCACAACACTCCTAGGCTAAGGCAGGAACAGTGAGTACAAGGCTAGCCTGGACTACATAGTAAGAGCCTGTCTCAAACAGCAAAAGATGGATAATGAATGCTCAATACAAATGAAGCCAGAAATGATCACATTTTTACAATAAAACAAAAGGTAGAGAAGATGTTGTTGAGGAGTCATGCAGCACGTCATTCAAAGTGTCGGCCAAAGGTTTTGGGGTTTTTTTGGGTCTTTTTCCTTTTTATCGGTACCGATCGAACTCATGACTGCCTGCTTGCAAGGCAAGCGCTTATGCGGCTAAGCTAAATCCCAGCCCCTAAAGGTTGTGTTTTTACTCATGGGTTTTACATGTGAGGCAGTTTCACAGTTTACAAAAAATAAGCACAAAATATCACAGAAATTTTCTCAGAGCATTAGGACTACAACTGATAACTCATCAATTACAATAGAGGAAGAACAGTATATATCTGCCCAAAGAACTCCTTAAAAGAATTCTACAACAGTCCAGTAAATGGAAAGATGAAATATCACCAAGAACAACCTAAGAAAACAGGAAGAGCAGCAAGATATCAAATACGCCCTACCAAAGAAGAGAGGAAAACAAAAACCATGTGCTATCAATGTAAGTGATACTTGTGTATAGAACATCTTATGTCATGTGTGAAAACTGCCTTAGGTGTGATAACTGAACTAAAGACTATTTTTGTGGTAGAGTTTTGTTTGTATTTTTACTATAATTCACATAGGAATTTAGCTCTGCTTTTTTATAGATCTTGTAAGCAGATAAAACGTGATGTTGACAATGTTGATGTTTATTCTACATACTCATTATCAATTAAAAATGTAATATTTTACAGATATTTTCCTGTTACATATATATAAAACTCATAAATTTAAAAATTGTAATTCTGGCCCTAAATCAAGGCCAGCAGCTTCCTGATGCTGTTGGTTTCAAGCAGGAGTCTAAGGAAGTGTCTTTCTATAGTCTGTGGGCCATTTCAGAACTTAGGCAGTGAAATGGTCAATTTCTTAGAAAAAAACAGCTTGGGGGCTGGGGATTTAGCTCAGCGGCATAAGCGCCTGCCTTGCAAGCAGGCAGTCTGAGTTCGATCCCTGGTACCGATAAAAAGCAAAAACCAAAAAAAAAAAAAAAAAAAAAGAAAAAGAAAAAAAACAGCTTGAAGCAACCCCTCCTCCCACCTCCAACCTGAACGGCTGTGAGCATGGCAGGCTGCAGCAGCCCAGGACAGGAGCCACTGGTGTTTACTGGGACCCTCGCCATGCTGGGACCTAGAACGACTCCCCCACCCCGCGCCTGCCCGCACTGCCCCGTTTTGTTTTGTTGAACTTCAATATACATGAAAGTATGGACAGCTATTTTGAAGAGAATGAGAGACTCTAAGACAGCCATTAGTGACTTCCCTATTGTCTGGTTTTGAAGACCTAAAATGCCTTCCTCCTTCTGTTCAGATCAGTCTTCTATTATGTTGTTTTATATGAATTCTCTGTACACGAAGACATGGACAACTATTTGGAAGAAAATAAGAGACAATATGATAAATAGTGAAGATCTCAGGTCATCTAGCTTTGAAATTTATATCTCTTACATTGCTTTCTTATGTGCTATATCGTTCTGTTTTGTTGTTTAATTTTACCCCCTTTAAAATAAAAATAAAAGGCAAAAATATTGTAATTCATCAACAGAAATATTCCTAAAAAATAAACAGTATTATACACCTCCAAATGCATCTTTTAAAAAAAAAAAAAAATACCATGATATCCCTGGGGCTACAATGATACTCACTATAACCACTTAATATCAATCAGTCTATACATTTTGCCAGACACATCAGGAACAAAAGGCCTTAACCATTTTATTTCCAGGACATTTCTTTGGAATGTGTTTATGCTTCAATTTCCTCCAACATAAACAGGTAAGCATAAAGTCAGGCCATTTAAGGAAAGGGTGTGATAAATAATTAACATTAATAACAACAACAACGAAACACTACAGAGCAAGCTTTTCATACACAGATATCTCAATGAATTTATTAACTACCAGTCTGAATTTTCTCATTCTCAGCCTAAAAATATAAATATAACACATTTTCTTTTTTTTATTTTTATTTTTTGGTCTTTTTCCTTTTTATCGGTTCCAGGGATCGAACTCACGACTGCCTGCTTGCAAGACAGGCGCTTATGCCGCTGAGCTAAATCTCCAGCCCCATATAACACATTTTCTATGCAAGCTAACATTGCTCACTCGGTTAACGTGTTGGCGTTATTAACCACAGCTTTTTTAATGTTGCCATTAAAGAAAATGAAAAATGAACTGCATCTACACTCTTTATCTGACCACAAAATTCTTGGCTATCAAATATTAAAATACAAATATAAAAATGTATTCTTCACTATGGAAGTTGACATATTTCCTTTTTATGAAAAAGAAAAGAATATCCTGCTTTGTTTCCATTTCCTACCACCCATCTTAATACCACACCTCTATGATCTTCTTTCTTCAAATCATTACTACCACAAAAAGATTCAGCAGCCTGTTTATAGTAATTATTCTATCATCTGTCCCAGGTTAAGATGATGGGAATAAGATGCATCTAAGCAAAGGAAATTTTCTACTCATCTAAATTTTTCAGTCTGCGAAACTATTTCAGTAGTCCTTCAATAATAAAAATGTCACTCTTGAAACTACCAAGGGAACATGAAATGGAAACTTCTGTTTATATGAAGTATGGTCAAAAAACAGTGAATGCTTAAATTTTTAACATTTATTAAAATTATTAAAAGACACTGCCATTAAATGCACTCAAAATACCCTGCTCCCAATTCAAACATATCCTCATCACTCTTTACCACTTTCTGAAGTAGTGCTGGAAGTCCTCTTCTGTGATTATCTTTAGTTGCCCTGTCATGGTTGCCCTGATTTTCCAAATCCTTTCAAAACGCTTACTTTTCATAATCATTTTGATTTTAGGGAAGAACCACAAGTTGTATGGTGACAGATCCAGTCAATAAGATGGGTAAAGATACACTGTAATGTTTTGAGACTGCCTGTCTGTTGGATGAGATGTGACAACATTCACCATATATTCAGTCACAACTCACACGTGAAAAAAAAACTGCCATACTGCTTTCAGAATGTAGAAACATGGATGGAATAAATTTGTTCAAAATGAGGGAAGTATGGAAGGGGGGGGGTTAATGGTAGTGTTTTTACTATAATTTTAAAATTTAAATATTCTCCCATTTTCAATCACACTGCGTATCTAAGCCATTCAAAAATACTATGTAAAATTTACTTGCCATTATGGATAACTATAATAGTTCAAAACCTGGATAAAATCAATCATATGCAGTTTAGAATTTCACCACATGAGGGGGCTAAAATTCCACATATCTCAAAATTACCCTAAGTGCAGTTCTGAAAACAATTTTTACCCTTTACATTACCTTTCTAAACACAAAACCAAACAAAAAAGAGACTATTACACTGGAATAGAAAACACAATAGTAATTAACACCTGTCCCATTCAGAACAAGATTAAAAGAGAAATGACATCGACTAAAAGTCTCCAGTGGAGAACAAGTGGTCAATTATAAATGGAAATTCATGACTAGTGATTTTGAAAAATGAAAGGATAAGACAGAGAAAAGATATAATTTTAAAAAGTATCACAAAAAAAGACTGTGTTTGTGTTGTTAAAATCACTTTCATTAAAGAAAAAAAAATCTAAAATATCCCTATAGTTAAGAATTATGATTCATAACCACATTCTAGAGGTAATATTCAGTCAGAAGACTTTAGAAACTATCTTTTATCATGATGGTCTGTACAGTTTAATAGACTTTGGAAAATAGTAAGGATTTCACTACAATTAACATTTAAACGAATTATGGTTGTTTTTTTTTTAAACCAGTTTGTAACTTTTTATTTTGGTACCAGATTCGAACTCATGACCACGCGCTCGCAAGGCAGGCGTTTATGCCGCTGAGCTAATACCCAGTCCCATTGTAACTTAACTTTCTAGTTGCTAACTTTTAGTGTTCATTATATGAGCATTGAGTCCTTAAAAATTAAAATAAGCCTAATACTTATTTCAGAGAAACTGACAAAAAGAATTGAAAAGGAAAATGTAAACCAATGTGTATCCATCCAGGCTCTAAATCTGATCTGAGAAGCAGTAATCTTTAGTGAAAGGTATAAGAACAGTAGAAGAAAAAAGAGCACAGAAGCAAATCCCAGACAGTTACACGAGGGAGAAACAGAGAAAGAGTAATAAGAGATCTTGGTATCTTAACAGATAAGTCTCCATTTCTCAAGACCTTTATTTATGAAATTACAGAATTCCAAGATGAATCCTATGAAAAGAAAACAGAACAACAGATATATCTAAATTCTAGTCTAGGCTCATGCTAATTAGCCATGTGAAAGTAAGACAGGAAAGTGAGTGAACTTTTCAAGGATTCCTGTATAAAACAGAAAGGTAAATCTCCTAAAGAATTGAGAATTTTGCCACCTGAATTAATCTTTTTCAATATATTATGAATCACATTTATTACAGCCAGACAAATCCTTGAGAAACAAATTTCCAAAGTATAAAATTGTTCTCTGAAGAATTGTTTTAAAAGCCAGGCATGGTGGCACACTTGTAATACCAGCACTCAGGAGGCTGAAGCAGAAGAATTGTTGCGAGTTTGAGGCCAACCAGGCTACCAAATGAGCTCAAGGCCAGCCTGAACTGCGTAGTTGACACCCCGTCTCAAACACACACACACAAAGTACCACCCTATCTGAAAAAGACAAAAACATAAATAAAAAAAGAAGAACTGGTTTTAATAAAGTTCTCTAAGAAATGTTTGTATACCTAAAGGTACTAGACAAATGTCTTGCTCTAATAAGGAAACAAGCAGATGATCAAGACCCTCTCCTGATTCCTCTGTAGAATAAAAGAAACAAAAGCATAAGAGACCACTGTTAAATGAGGCACATTGCTGGGGAAGTACATGCTGCTCAGTGTTTCCATCTAGAGCACCACCACCACCCCAAAAAGACAGAAAAGAAAAGGCAGGTTTTTCCAAAGTCTCTATGGTTTCAAATCACTCCTCTAATTGAGACCGCTTCTTAAAATGTACGCACACTAAATGGACAATGTTTTATCTTCCTTCATGGAACACACTATGACATCTTACAATAAATCACTTACTAGGAAAAAAAACTATTAAGTTGATTTATATTCTGACAGTGTGGTATAATCCACGTCTCTGTCTTTGATTCCTGGTCACACAACTTAAAACCTCTAGCAATTTCTAACTGATGGCACCTTCTGTTATTGATAATAAAGTCCTTTAACACACCTGGGCTTAATGCTAATGAGGTTAATTAGGGTATTACACCCCCACTGTCTGAGGAAGCACTGAATCTCCCTGTCCAAAACCTTACCCTATCCATTCATATTAGTTAAAATAAACTGGCAAAGTATTATTCTGAGCTCTAAGAGTCATCCCAGTAAATTAATCAAATCAAATTTGGGGTGGAGGTAAAGAAGGTCCACAGGAACCATGGTTCATACTCAACTGATCAAAAGTACAGGCGTCATGGGACTTGCCCTGGACATCAAGAACAGTAGTAGTCCAGCATGCACACCTGTAATCCCAACACTTGGAAGGCTGAGGCAGGAGAGTCAACATAGTTCAAGACCAGCCTGCGCTACAAAGTGAGTTTAAGGCTAGCCTGAACTGCATACTGAAACCCTGTCTCAAAAAGATTCTTTTAAAAAAGAAAAAAGGAAAAGAAGTTTTATGAGACTGAAACTTTAATCTATAGAAATAGGAAGACAATGTTAGAATTAAAATGAATTACAGTATACACATTGGTATATAAAATGTCAAAGAAATGTTTCATATTTGATAGCACAGGGGAAAAGAATTTTTCCTTTTTGAAGACGGCCAAAAAGAGGAAAATCTACTAAAACTAGTGTTTTCCCAATATACAGATTCTCTAGTCTGAAAAAAAAAAAAAATCAAAACGTAAATTTTGTATGTACAACAAATATAGCTTAACTGAACCCAAATATAAACTGCAACAAAAAACCTCAAGTGGCAAGAAATTATCTATTACTTAGGAAAAAATGATTAAGAATTTACTTTCATAAAAATAAAGGCTTAAATCCTTAACTATCAGCTAGCTCCTTCTCTAATTTCCTCATATTGGGGCAAATATTCAGACCACTGCATGTCTGTGGTTGTTTTATATGTCTATACACTAGACAATGCTAAGAAGTCCACTGAAAGTTCCCAACAATCACCTTCTCTACTAACAAGGTAAACTAATCAAAAGGATTCATCAAAAGAAAAAGATTATTTCAGTTTTCAATCAGACTATTGGTTCAAAGTAATCACTAGTAAGCTCATAATCTATGTGAAGAAAGCCTATTATTAACACTTTGGAGAATTTTCTTACTTTCTTGAAAACATGCCAATTGCACACAACAGTCTTAGGTGTTTATAAATATATTTGTACAAACTATGCATAGTTTTGTTTGTAAGTGAAAGGAACATCTCTTGTTGAGTACTTTAAAGTTAACATCACTACTGAAATTTTAGTCATGTACCCCTCAAAAGCCTTATTCATATGAAAAAGTCGTCTTCCAGATACACTGAAAATACATCTTCATAGGGAAAAGTAAAGCAGGTTATCCGAATAGTGTAGAAATTCTTACTGTGTATTACATACATTAATTATAAGGCAATGTTTCTTTGCTTAATAGTGTGCCCTTGGGACAATTTTTATTATTCTTATTTTTAGTAGTACAAATTTGCAGCCTATTGATCATATACATCATTGAGAGTTTAAATGTTTTGTTTTTAATCATCTGAACTCTTAAAAATTTAGAACTACTGACACTTAAGAATTCTGAAGAATATGCAGTATTTGAGCCACAATCTACTATCCCTCCCATTCACTCTGTGCAACTAAGACAAGCCTCCAAAAAGACATGGCTTCTTGACACCTAGCTCCTAAACAAGAGGGTCTAGCTCACTGGTAGAGTCAGATCAATAATGAGATCTTATCTCCTCCAAGTAGAACTGAAAAGGACAAAGTCCAGGTGAGCAGTCAAAAATTCTCTGGGATTCCTTTCCTCATCTTCCTATTTCCCCCAATCAGCAAAGGACCCAACTGTTCTTGGTTAAACTACCTAAATAGATTTTGTCTATGATAAAAAGCAGTTCTCAAAGGAACTGACTTAATTTCAAACATAGCACAAGAAAAGTTCACGCCTAAGAGAACTCTTGGAAATGATGGTGACATTTAGTGATTTAAAAAGCAACAACAGGTTGGTAGCTACTCTCAATGAAAAGCAACAAGCTAAAAACATTAGGCTAGCTGGTATAGACAGAAGCAGGGAAAACAGGCAGCTAAGATGAGCAGTACAAAGGTCAGAAAAAAACCTTAAAAGTTTGGCCTCAAAAACTATCCCTTACTCAAAACTGAATCAGAAGTAGGAGCAATTTATGCCCCGAAGCATTGTTGAAAACTATACAGCAATCAGCCAGCAATTAATAGAGCCTAAAATAAGGTATATACAAGAACAGCCATCTTCACACAGATCAGAGAAAGAGATCTCTGATCAAACCAGGGTGCCCATGCCATTCCTAACTCAAATCACTTCACTTTCCCTCTGTGGAAAAAATATGATCAGTATTTAAAATAAATTCAACAAGAATTAGGAATAATTCTAATCACTACATCCATGGAATTATGTTCAAATTTAAAGTCTGGAAAAGCATTCTGCAAACGTTAAAGTACAACATGTATGCTGGATATCATCACTACTTGACTGAGAAATACCAGGTGATTAAAAAAATAGCATAGAAAAAGGCAAGATATATAAGTAACATTCAAAATATTTGACTATTATGAATTAAACTGCAGAACCTTGAATATTACAGAAGACAATTTTGAAGGAAATGGTTTAATATGCTGATGATATACTGAAATCACACTTTTTAAACCATTGATTACACGTAACAAGAATATAACATAAATGTACAATATTTCTGTGCAAGGCAATTAAGCCTTTTTTTCTGGTTGGTTTTTTGGTTTTTTTTTTTTTTTTTTTTTTTTTGTCCCCCTACACTGGGGATCAAATCCAGGGCTTCACACAAGTGCTCTAACACTGAACCACACCCCAAGCCTGAGCCTTTACTTTTTTTTTGTTTTTTTTTTTTTTGTTTTTTTTTTTTGGTCTTTTTCGTTTTTACTGGTAGCGGGGATCAAACTCATGGCTGCCTGCTTGCAAGGCAGGCACTTATGCCGCTGAGCTAAATCCCCAGCCCCGAACCTTTACATTTCTATTACGCTATATATAACACCAACTAAGGAGAGGAAGATAGTTAGATGCAGCAAAGAGTACCTTTGTTGAGGATGGTGGAGTAGGAAAATTAAGCCAGGCTGGAGCAAAGTCATGCTGCGCCATTTAGGTCCAGTCTCTCCAACTCAGTGAAACAAGGCTTCAACACCTCATGGCAAGTCCCTGTTATACAAAAATGGAAAGAATTAAGACTTGCATACCCTAGGTAAAATTAGCTCATATTAAACTCCTTTAAATTACAATTATTACAATACCATATCCAAGATTCCATTTTAAAATGTTAAATAATAATTCTAAGAGGCTTTTTGTTCCGAACTAACCTCCCACACTGAACCCCAACAGGTCAGACCAAAAATCAAAATGGAGTCACTGAATTTTCACATCAACAAACTTTGAAACTAAGTTGTTACCTTGACTTCAAAGAAAAACAGGGCCAGTATATATGCTAAATTTCCCAAATCACCATGATAATGAAGTTTCCTCTGCATTCTTTCCTTCCAAAGTAACCTGATATTAACCAGTTACTTCTTCATTTTTCTCCCTGTCCCCTCCTTACTTTGAAGTCACCCATCTTCTTTTGCTTGTTTTTTCTAGCACTTTCCTGTCTGTACAATTTATACTGAGTCCATCAAAATGATTATTCTATTTTATAAAGATTCTAAAGCTGGTAAGCCGCACTTTGTGCAGGGTCCAGAAAGAGAAAAGCCAGTGTCATCCCGAGAATCAGCTGTGCTGGGACTGGGAGGAGCTAAACAAGGAGCCAGCCTTTCTGGGAAGCCACACAAACCATGCAGGGTCCAGAAAAACAAAAGTCAGCACCTTCCAAGAGTCTAACAGCATAGAAATCCAATTATTGTTTTCACTGTTTTGTTTTGTTCTGACTGTTTTGCTTTATTCAATGTTATGTTTTGATTAGTTTTATTCTGTTTTGTTTTGGTTTGATTTTGCTATACTTGACAGAATGGACAACTAATGTGAAGATAGTAAGATATGCTATGGTAGCTATTGTTTTCCTAGTATCTTGCTTTGAAGTTCTGTACTAATTTCACTGTTTTGTTTTGATTGGCTTTGCTATTTTGTGTTGCTAGATTTTATCTTTAAAATAAAAAAAAATCAAAAAAGATCCTAAAATACCAAATAAAGCCAGTTAAAATCTTTAAAACTGTAAGTATATATTTTTACAATAAAATCTTAAGTCTATAATGATGAATACTAAATCAGCTGCAACGGTTGGAGATGACTGCAAGAGGAAAAAGCAATTTCTTGGGCAATAGGACATTATCTTGACTATGATAGTGCTTATACAAACTGTACAAATCAAAATTCTTTAAACTGTACATTTAAATCTGGTGATCTTTCTGTATATTCTACCTCAGAAAAACTTTTTTTAAAAATCAAACAGAAGCCGCAGATTTAGCTCAGTGGCATAAGCGTCTGCAAGGTACACATGAGATTGAGTTCGATCCCTGGTAACAAAAAAATAAAAACAAAAATAAAAATAAAATAAGACAACTAGAACCAATTGCTTTCCTAATATGAAGCATATAGTACCATCAATGATATACTGTATTGTTGTCCACAGTCAAAACGTAACCTAAAATACTATCTACATATGCATTGACAGGAAATTCAAGAACTAACTTAAAGGACATCTGGGTAAAGTAATCCACCACATTCATAATCACAGAATGTCTACAGGTTACGAAACAGAAGGAAAATTCCTGCAGCTTCACTTACTGTTAGTTTCTTGCTTTTATCATCAATGTTGATGGTCACCCACTGGCTTTACTTATAGACAATAGTGTTGACATATGTTTCAGGAGTAAGACAGTAACGTGTGCTTGTTTTTCAGTAACTTAAAGGTAGCTCAAAACTGGTTGAAACCACTAGCCCTTCACATGGATCTATGAAGCTTTCTGATGGATAAGCTTTACAGACCCAAATCAACACTTTTAACACCATCATCATTTTCTGAACATACATCCTATGAAGATGCCATGAAGTTTGATTACACAGTACATGTACATACCACTGTTCACTCTCCCAACCTCCAATCATGTTTCTGTATGCCTCAGGCCACTATAGGTTTATTATTGTTGTTGTAGTTGCTGCTGTTTTAATCCTGTAAACACCCCAACCCCATCTCTGAGGATATAGATTTGAGACTTGAGTCTTGATAAAATTGGGCCACCTTGTAAATAAAACACTTTCTCTTTTTCAAATAAATTCATTGATTAGTTAACTAGCATTGAAAATCACAGACAATACTGCCCTAGTTTGATAATAAATAATCTGGTTTCAATAAATGGTTTTTAATGTACCAGTGAAATATAATGTATATATCTTACATGGATCTTCTTTATGAAACTTTTAAAAAAATAATAAATGATTTTGAATGTTCTCAACACAGAAAATTGATAAATGAAGTGATGACTATGCCAATTATCCTGGATCTTATCAATACACATGTACTGAAATATATCACAGCCTCATATATATGTACAATTATCATATGCAACAAAAATGAGTTTTATGTATATATTTTTAAAACCCCAATCAAGAACCTAAATATAAAAATTGTAACTATAAAATTCTTGAAAGAAAATGTGATAAGTTTCATGACTTTGGATTTTGGAACAGATTCTGCAGTGACACCAATACCATCAGTAATAAAAATATCTAGTCTAGATCTAGAATATATAAAGAACAATTACAATTCAACAAGACAAATCAAAAGTAAGCAAATGACTCGAGTTGGTATTTCTCCCAAGAAGACATACAAATGGCCAATTAACTACAAAAAATACATTCAACATCATTGGTCATTAAAGAAATGTGAATCAGGCCGGGGATTTAGCTCAGCGGCGTAAGTACCTGGTTTGCAATCACAAAGTCATGAGTTCGGTCCCTGGTACCAAAAAAAAAAAAATCAAAATAAACATAAGAATAGTTTATATCTATTAAGATAGCTACATAATCAAATGGTCAAAATACTTATACACTAATGTTTACACAGCAGCACTATTCAAAATAGTCAAAAAGTAGAATCATCTGTCTGTACATAGACAAATGAATGAACAAAATGTGGTACACATACATACAAATGGAATGTTAGCCATAAAAAGGAGTGGCATATTGGTACATACTGTAAGTATAAACCTTGAAAACATCCTAAGTGAAAGGCTGACAGAAATGATTATATAATGTATGATTCCAGTTATATGAGCTATCTATAATACATAAATTCATTAAGTAACAAAAAACAGATGAGCTGTTGCCAAGCACTCTTGAGAGGGCAGAATTTCATAGCAGTAATTTCAAAACCCTGTGGATGTACTAAACGCCAAAACTGTACTTGCTAAAATGATTAACTGTGATTTTTATCTCTAAGAAAAAATGAGAGTATAATTCCTCAAATAAAGTAAACCATGAATCCAGACAGATATAAGTATGTGTATTTGAGGAATCTCCAAGTTTTATTACTACAACTTTTCAGTAAAATAGCCTGGAAAACACTTTAAAAGATCAAGGGAAAACAGTATTACTAGTGAAAGACCAATTTGACATGTGTGCCACAAGACTGAATGAAACAAACCAAACAAGTACTGTATCTCTTCTATAATATTCTACACCAATGATGTATAACATCAGTATGAATATTAGACAAGTCAACTCATTGAGATACTAAATTAACGGGCCCCAAATTTTCCAAACTATCAAGTTACAAAAGAAGAATGAGAAAAGGAGGAAAAACTGAAAACAAAGCTTTTATAAATGGGCAGAGGGGCATTGAAGGGAGGGTAGGGAAATGGGAAAAAGAATCAAGTTATATCATGTACAACAGGTACAAATTCTCTATGCTGAATGTGATCATTATATATACCTAAAATGTACCAATAAGAATCATAAACAAAAATAAAGTGAGAAAAATAAGCCAGGCATGGTGGCTCACGCCTGTAATCCCAGCACTCAGGCTGAGGCAGGAGGATCCTTGTGAGTTCAAGACCAGCCTAGGCTACAAAGTGAGCTAAAGGCTAGCCTGAACTGTACAGCGAGACCCTATCTCAAAAAGACAAAAACAAAAAAGGGAAAAATAACTTTAAAAATTGGCCAAGATATGAAACACGTTCATTTCATATTTTTATCAGTAAGTTAACTTTGAGAAGTATACTCTGACCTTTTTATTCCACTTGATTTGTTTGCTTCACTATTTTAGAACAATAAAATTCTACCAGCACTTAGTAGGTATCTAATGAGTAGTGATTTCCAGACTTCCCTTGATCTTCTCTGTAGACTGTAACGCAAAAGAACTTACTTAGGCAGAGCCTTAAAAACTGTTTTTAAACAAACTAAAGAGTTATGAACACAAGAAAGTAAATAATATTAAAGTAAAAATAAAATCCTTGCCTAACAAGCATATCCTCTAAAGGAAGCAAAAAAATTTTTGATTGCATGTTTTAGTTTGGGTCATGAAAGTATCCAATTGTTTTGCCCTGTTAGCAAATGCTGTGCTTAGACATAGATCAAACTATTTGTAATATAAAACAGTACTAGTGAATTTCATAACAAATCTAGGGATTTAGAAATATTCAACTTTTCAAAAGATTCCACTCTAATGCTCCTTTTACTGTATGTACCAATCCTCCTCAGTTTACCTCTAACTTAATCCTCAAAACCTTTCTATACTTATTTGGAGTAGTGGGTTGTCATAAAAAACCAAAAAGGGGAGTCAAACACAGTGGTGCATGCCTGTAATCTCAACAGTGTGGGAGGCTGAGGCAGGTGAACTACAATTCTGGCCCAGCTTGCCCAATTCCAACACTCAATACTGCTCCCCAAAATTTTTTTTTTTTTTAAAGAGATGGAGTTTTGAATCAATATGAAGGGGCTGGGGATTTAGCTCAGCGGCATAAGCACCCGCCTTGCAAGCGCATGGTCATGAGTTCTATCCCAGTACCGATAAAAAAAAAATTTTTTAAATGAATATGAAGGTCCTGAATATAATCCCCAGTACTCTCAAAATCATAAGTTACAAAAACTGTAATACTTATTGTTATATATGAAAAAATACATTAATGCATCAATGTATGCTCATTTCTCCAAAAAATTTTATTCAAAAAAAGCAATCCATTTTGGAAACGGGATGTTTTTAATTCTCAATT